TAGTGCTTGTTGAGGAGGCCCTCAGTTAATATAACAATATCAAAAAATGGGTTTGCCATTTTTGTGTTTTCTAAGGTCACTTGGCTGTGGCGGCCATCTTTAATTGACCTAATTTCACAAGTGTATCAGTTGTAGTTTTATGTGTGTGTGTGTGTGTGTGTGTGTGTGTGTGTGTGTGTGTGTGTGTGTGTGTGTGTGTGTGTGCGTGCGTGCGTGCGTGCGTGCGTGCATGCGTGCGTGTGTGTGTCTGCCCTTTCTTCTCGATCCCAGTGAGTCATGGCGGATGGCTACTTATAGCCAGGATCCTCTGGAGCTTTCTTCCAGTTAAAAGGGAGTTTTCCTCTCCACTGTCCCTGGGTGCTTGTTCAGTATGAGGATTGCTGACACAACAAGTCAGCGACTCAATGCGATCTACTGGGTATCTTATATAGGAAACTTGAAACAAATTGGCATGAAGAACTGAACCCACCTATTCCACTTTCCTCGGGATCCACTGATTTCGCTCTTTCCTATTCACTCTCTCTCTTTCTTAACTTTTTTTTAAATCACAATTGTCTGTTTTTTGCTCATTTTAAATATGTTTTAACCATTTTCTAAATTCTTTTTTATATTTTTACATTTTTTGTTTTTGTGAAGCGCCTCGTGATTTTTATCTTGAGAGGCGTTATAGAAATGATATTTTCTTCTTCTTCTTCAATGGGAATGTTCACAAGTGCCTTCAGAAGACTCCTGTCGTGGTTTCTCACTAACTCGCTATATAAATAAACTGAAAAGAATTGTAGAGGCACATCTGCTGTTAACTTTCTGAAAGTTTCATCATAATCTGTCCTGTAGTTCACGCAATTTTTGCTAACAAACAAATTAATCATTTACATACTCACCAGATACCTTATGGCAAACGGGGTTTCAATTTTTTTTAATAATTTTCAAGTCTCAACAGTCTATGGTTGTAGAACCCGAAATGTAACAGATGCTTCAACACCATGTCGCTAACCAGACGTTCCTCCTTCCTCTATCTCTTCTTCAACTATCCAATAACGCGTGTCAAAGGGGGCACACATATAAAAACAATATTGGTCAGCATTTAGCTCCACATATTAAGCTCTCATTTGTTTCTGGGTAGTTGGCAAAGTAGAAGGAAATGCATTTTAGCATTAAGCATATCTGCATTGTTGTCATGTTCACAGCTGCAGAAAATTGAGTGAGGTGTGCTGAGGGGGAGCCGGAGCTGTTGCAGGCAGGACACTGGTAATAGGCTTTCTGAGGGCTTCTAAGATGGTGCAGGCTTCTAGGAGGCCAGAGAGCTGGAGAAATGGAGTTCTAATGGAATATCCAAAGGTGTTCAATGACAGTTAACCTTTCCAGCTAATGATTAAGGTCACACTGAATGTGAATTGCACATCACCCTCAGATAGAATTTAGTCAGTGATGGAGATATATGTGGGACATTAATATTGTATGGGCTGAAAATACTCAGGTCCCACAGCATTTCTGTGGTAACAGAGATGTTGTTCCTGTTCAAGGTCAGATGTGTGGGGCAGCGGGAAAACCCCGACCTATATTCACAGCATTTAAATCCTGAACTTCCGTTAAACTTCCGTTCAGCTGTCACCCAGCTGAAACTGAAAGTTAAAGATGATTTATGTGAAACAGCCAATTCCCATATTGAGCAGTGAAGATTTAGCTGCATGAGGATGTAAACCTCCCTGCTTGTGTGGTAGATGTCTTCTCACCTCCCAGCACTGCTTATTCAAGTATTTCATCCTCATGAGACCTTGATCTAATCTCCTCAAGTGGCATATCCATTGTCCTCCTAGCATCTCTCATCACATTCTGATGCAGCTTTATTTACTAATTCAGACAATCAGTTGTGTTTGTTTATTGATTTTAGCCGTTTGGAAAATGCTCTTGTCAATTTAATGAAGGTGTAGGGTTTGGTAAATGGATTGCTTTAAGAGCTCAATAGATGTATTACCTCTACTTATGACCAACAAGCTGTGACACTCTATTGAAATACAGAATATCAACCCTGCTTGGTTTTTTCTGTGTTTATCAGAAGATTCTAGGGTTCTTGCTTTATCAAGGGAGTGTACACACTTCGTTTTGATTCAGAAAAGAGGTTTATAAAAGTAAGAATTTATTTTACCAACAATTAAAACATGACAAGTTAGCTAAGCATTTACGGTAATGGATGGAACTAAATGTGATGTATGAAACCTATGTGTGAATGCGATGTTAGTCAGAACTTCCGTATCTAGGAAAACTGAGTTCTGGATGTAAAACAATTTGGTTTGCGTTAAGCTATGAAGTTGATTATAATCAAAAGCACATCCGACGCTATCTGTGTGTCTGCTTCACCCGTTTCGGAGACCCTCTTGGTGGATCCGATGGTCAGAGAGGTCGGATGACCTTGGCACCAAAGGGCTGTAGGATACCGTGGCACCGACTCTTCAGTCCAGGGATGTCTCGGGTCACGACAGATGGATGGAACCGCGCGTCTGGGACTCTTTAAGGAGTCGGAACATTATCAGCTCGTTCTGCAGGAACTGTTTGCTGTATCAGCTATGCAGGTGCCAAAAAGTTTTTGATGACGTGCCAAAAGCTACATGGTTAAAGAGGGTTTTGCTTCAGATGGCCAGTCTGAAGCTTTCTCTAGAACTGAGGAATCACCAGAGTAATCTGGTTTTAATGTTCTCATGTTATGATTTATGTAGCCAACCAGAGGTTGACAAGTTTGAGGAATATTGCCAAGAATCTCAGAAACAAGCATTCTTTGATACCGGATGCTCTGATCTGGGTAAAGGACTATCTATTTGTCATGAGTTTAACTTAACTTTGTCCTTGTGTGAGTGCAAATGGTGATGACCTTGTCATGTAAACATGCTGAAACATATTTCAATCACTGTAATCATAACATAACATTCATTTCACACTTCAATCATTGAGCACAGATTAATGAAACATTTCATTATATTATAATTATTATAAGTAACAACAAACAAACATTTATTTAATGATTATCTAGCTTATAAGTTGTAGAAGTTCATATCTGATTTAGAAAATCATTCTTTGATTTAGCAACTAATCCAGGCTGCGAGTGTTCCTTATATGGAAGCATGAAGAATCCTGAAAGATTGGATCTTGAGGAGAGAACATTATTGTTGACATTTCGTTATCTGTGTTCAGAGCTGCAGGCTCTGAGCTCCAGCTGGTGGGATGAAGGCAGGCTGATTTAAAGGGGTCACATGCAGTCTCGTGTCTCCTTTTTGACCAGATGTTGAATGGTCAAACTGTACCTAAAAACTGACCATTGCTGGACGTTACAAAGGACTAAGAAAGACGACAACAGCTTGGGTAATGGCTCCTTAAATAAAGTACATCTAGTTATTGAATGTGTGGTGCTAGATGTGATGTTGTTTCCTCGTATGAGGAAAGTAGCTTTCTGGTGTTTAATTCGTAGAGACTAATAATACCCACACTATTGTCTGACAAGTTCTTCCAGCAACTGAAGTTAAATTAAGGGTGCCTGAATCTATGACTGGCAATCATAATTTCATGCCACTTAAGTTATTAAGATTTAATTCTGCAGCATCAGAGTGGATTAACCTATCAGTCAGCGATCCCTGCAAGGTTCATTCAGAGCTTCTCGACTCACGTCTTGTTCTGGTCGTCCTTAGCTCCTAAGTCTGCCAAAGAGGAATATCGAAACACCGAGACTGCTGGAAGTAACTGGAACACATCCTCAATTTTTGATTAACTTGATGTTTTGAATTCTGCATGAATTGGTACTTAATGACCAAAGTATTATTTACAACAAGTCAGATCTTTACATTTCAGACTGGCCAGTCACAGATTAAAGGTTCAGTCCATATCATGCTGATTTAAACCTTTGAGAGCAAAGGTAGGAACAGTACATTATAAAATATTACCAATGGCACTATTGAGGTGTCATTTATGTTAAATTTGAGTTACTTTCGTCAGCTTGAATTTATACCTGGAAATAAAGCCGTTAGTTTCAGTAAAACTCCGCCCATGCACGCTCTGACAAAATGCTCTCAGGTGTCTCAGGCAAGTCAGTTGCTGTGGCTGATTGCCCAGAGGATAAGATGTCTGCTTGACAACTCTGTTTTGCCACACTGACGTGGGTTCGACCCCCGTTGCTGTCGGTAGTAATTTATGTAGCCAGCTGGAGCAGTTTTTATGTTTTTATATTTTAGTTTTATTGATTACTTTCTGCTAAAATTTCGTGTTTCTAAAGATCCTTGAATGAGGTCATTTCCTAACAGCATTTTAGTTGATTTACTCTGCTCACCTCACACCACACCTCGCAACCAAGATGTGAACCTGTGCAAAACTGCGTCCCAGCCATACACTCTAACCAGGGCAGGAGCAGGGCCTGGTGTCAGGAGCCGGAAGATGGAGTGACATATAGATGTAACATCAGTCTGTTGTCATGAATTTCAAAATAAAACTCAACATTTGCAGTTGAAACAGGAAATTACATGAATGGAGCTAAAAACTGGTTTGGGGGTATTTTTCAAACAACAATATCAGATGCTAAAAAGCTCCAAAAAGTTAATTTTACATGATATGGCCCATTTAAGTCGACTGTGCTGAGTTTGATTATATATATATATATATATATATATATATATATATATATATATATATATATAACATTTTATTTTATTATTATTTTTCCTTTGTGCACATTTCCTATCAGTAGTTTTTAAACTTCTGCTGATATTTTTGCTGTGGAAAGAATTTCAGTGAATTTGGGAAATGTCAGTTCATGTGGAAAAAATGACAAGACTTGTTTCAAGATGGATCAGTTTGAACTTTGCCTTTATTAAATGTCATTTTTATTTTTGACAAAATAATATTAAATCTTTCTTGACTTTCACTGTAATAAAATGTCCCTGAGGGGAAAACAAAAAAAAACATAAAAGACAAAACAGATAAAGCACAAAATCCCTTTCCATTTTCTCTTTTGTCTCTAGAGTTTTCCTCCGGGCTATCAGCCAGTACGCATCAGTGCTGAACAAGAAATTTCTGGATCAAACCAACTTTGAGCTACAGGTAAGCAATGCACAGAATTACACCTGTTTTTGTTTTTTAATTATTTAAACTACTCTTGTCTCTGCACCACAAAAGCTTAAAATAAAGTCCTGTTAGTCAACGCTGCATTAACATTTGAAGGTTTGACAAACTGCAGCTAGAGAACATCAATTACTCCGTAATGACCAGCAGTTTTATTCACAGGGTTGAATATTTTAACCTTTTCTCTTTTGAATAGAGCAATTTCTTGAAGATGAAACAACATTGTCAACAACAGAAATCCTGGGAGCTTTTAGAACCTTTATGGATGATTAATTCAGCTGTATTTTAGTGTGACTAACGGCACTTAAAGCTGTTTTTATGAAGTTTTGTGACAGAAAGAAAAAACAAGAGGTGTGGCTTATTTGTGTAATTGTTTAGAGGTGTTGGATACATTTTCAACACAGAATTATGGACTCATATAGAACTATTCTTATACTTCTGGCATTTTATAAGAAAATATTAATCATAAACTCAAGACTCTAATCATTATTAAAAGCTGTATTTTGAGTGTAAATACATATGAGGGTGTTTCAGTGCCACTGTGGTTTTAACAATTGGGACTGAAAGGAGAGGTCAGATTTTGAGGAAAATGCCAAAAAGTATGTAATTAGTGTAATTTATGTGGAAAAATGTTGGATATTCCTATTGTTGCATGACATTAATCTTATTTTTTCAGAGTTTTCCATAAAGGCAGCTATTCACTAAATGAAGTGGAACTTTTATTTCCCTTAGCTGTTGTAGATTTATAGAACATTCCAGAGATTTAAAAAAACATTATTTTTGAACATTTAATAGTTAAAAATAAAAAGTTTACATTTTTCTTTCTTAAAATTAATAGTTAAAAAATAGCTACAGTACAGTTTGAACACATCTTCTCATTCAATGTGTTTTCTTTATTTTCCCAACCATTGGGAATTGGTAGATTCTCACTGAAGGCATCACACCTGTGTATGAGCACATGGCGAGTTATGTACTTAAAGTGACAGTGTGTAGTTTCCCTGGCGATTGGCGGCAGTTGATACCTAAATCATTGCAAGCAAGCATTACTTTTGTGTTCAAGTAAGACCTTGACAACAAATGGCCATTAGGGTCAAAAATCCCTGGGACAACCTCCAGCAAAATAACAAGAACATCAGATTCCCTTCTATCACTGGCAAGTAGTGAAGAAGTAAACGTGTAAAACAACAAAGTTTGACGGTGAAAGTTTTGTAACTGTTTCTTACAAATCAGTAAAGGTATTTTGTCCTCACAGGATTCTGTAGAAGGAAATATGGCATCCAATATGGCGTTGTCGAGAGACTTGGACTCGCTCCCATGTGTTTTAGACCATTTTTTTATGGTTATATGTTATGAAACCACCGATATTTTTCATCAACTGGGTATCTTTTAATTAATTTAAAACTACATTTCGATGGATATTTTCAGAGATTAGTGGTAAAAACTACACATTGTCACTTTAACAAAAAAGGGTGAAATAACTGAACACATGTTTTATATGCTATTTTCTTCAAAATAGCTACCCCTTGTCATTATCTTGATGAGCTTCAAGAAGTAGTCACCTGACATAGTTTTCCAACATTCTTGAAGGAGTTCCCAGAGGTGTTTAGCATTTGTTTACCCCTTTGTAAATGGTCATGGTCATGAAAATAAAGAAAACACATTGAACGAGAAGGTGTGTCCAAACTTTGGCCTGTACTGTATAAAAGTTTTCAGTTAAAAATTCTCTCCTTAAATAGTAAAAATTAGTTCAATTCAAGTGAAAAAGAATCAAGTATTGTAGTACAAGAAACCAATGTCCTCTTTAAGGTACGAAAGTTTGGGCAGCCTTGTTAATCTTCATGATTTTCCTGTATAAATTGTTGATTGTTACAATAACAAAATCCAGTCAAATATATCATATGGGAGACACACTCACAGTGATATTTGAGTAGTAAAACAAAGTTTATATGATTTACAAAAAGTTTGCAATAATTGTAGGCAGGTGCATAAATTTGGACGCTGTTGTCATTTTATTGATTCAACAAAGATTGTTCACCATCATGGTTTAGAGGAAAGACACAGAAAGCTGTCTCAGAGATTTCAGCTTATGTTTCCACAGTGATTAACATATTGAGGAAATAGAAGACCACAGGAACAGTTCAAGAATCAAGATAAGGCTCCAAGTGGCAGACCAAAATAAGTCTGAGTCTACCCACAGACCAGCACCAAAGACCAACATCATCATCTTACTGCAGATGAAGTCCTTGTGCATCTTTCAGCTACTTGGCACACTTTCCACAAGGAGATGCTGTATGTGAGAGTGATGCAGAGGAAGCCTTTTCTCTGCCCAAGGCACAAACAGCTGCTTGAGGTATGCTGACGCACATTTGGACAAGCCAGCTTCATTTTGGAATAAGGTGCTGTGGACTGATTAAACTAAAATTGAGTTATTTGGTCATAACCAGGTTCATTATGCATGGAGGGAAAAGAATACCGCATTCCAAGAAAAACACCTGCTACCTACAGTAAAATGCGGTGGTGGTTCCATCATGCTTTGGGGCTGTGTGGCCAGTGCAGGGACTGGGAATGTTGTTAAAGCTGAGGGATGCATGGATTCCACTCAATATCAGCAGATTTTGGAGACCAATGTCCAGGAATCAGTGGCAAAACTGAAACTGCACTGGGGCTAGATCTTTCAAAAAGACAACAACCCTAAACACTACTCAACATCTACTAAGGCATTCATGCAGAGGAACAAGTAGGACGTTCTGGAATGACCATCTCAGTCCCCAGACCTGAATATTATTGAAAATCTGTGGTGGGACAGAGCTGTCCATGCTCAGAAGCCAACAAACCTGAATGAACCAGAGATATTTAGTAAAGAAGAATGGTCCAGAATGCCTTCAGCTAGAATCCAGACTCTCATTGGAAGCTATAGGAAGCATTTAGAGGCTGTTATTTCTGCAAAAGGATGATCTACTAAATATTGAGCCGATACCTTTTTAAAAATCTGATAAAACAATTATTGCACACTTTCTGTAAATCCTGAAACCTTTGTTTCACTTCTCAAATATCACTGTGTGTGTCTCCTATATGATCAATTCAACTGGATATTTTCATCATTACAACCAATAATTCCGTCATCGTCTCGTCGTCTTCCTCCGCTTATCCGTGTCCGGGCCGCGGGGGCAACATGCCAACTAGGGAGCTCCAGACTGTCCTCTCCCCGCCACCTCCACCAGTTCCTCCGGCAGGACCCCAAGGCGTTCCCGGACCAGATTGGAGATATAACCTCTCCAACGTGTCCTAGTTCGACCCGGGGGCCTACTGCCGGCAGGACATGCCCGAAACACCTCCCCAGGGAGGCGTCCAGGAGGCATCCTGACCAGATGCCCAAAGCACCTCAACTGACTCCTTTTGATCCGGAGGAGCAGCAGTTGTAGTCTGAGTCCCTCCCGAAGGTCCGAGCTCCTCGAGCCCGGCCACCCTATGGAGGAAACTCATTTTGGCCACTTGTATTTGCAATCTCGTTCTTTCGGTCATTACCCAAAGCTCATGACCATAGGTGAGGATTGGGACGTAGATCGACTGGTAAATCAAGATCCTGGCTTTCTGGCTCACCTCCCTTTTCACCACGACAGATCGGCTCAGCGTCTGCATCACTGCAGACGCTGAACCAATCCGCCTATCGATCTCCCGATCCCTCCTACCCTCACTCGTGAACAAGACTCCGAGATACTTAAACTCCTCCACTTGAGGTAGGACCTCTCTCCTGACCCGGAGTATGCAAGCCACCATTTCCCGGTCGAGAACCATAGTCTCAGATTTGGAAGTGCTGATCTTCATCCCAGCCGCTTCACACTCTGCTGTGAACCTACCCAGCAAGAGCTGAAGGTCAGAGCTGGATGAAGCTAGGAGGACCACATCATCCGCAAAAAGCAGAGACGGGATTCTCCTGCCATCAAACTCAACACACTCCACACCACGGCTACGCCTAGAAATTCTGTCCATAAAGGTAATGAACAGAACCGGTGACAAAGGGCAGATCTGGCGGAGTCCAATCCTCACTGGGAACAGGTCCGACTTACTACCGGCTATGCGGACCAAACTCACGCTCCTCTGGTAAAGGGACTGAATGGCCCTTAACAGAAAGCCACCCACCCCATACTCCTGGAGCGTCCCTCACAGGGTGCCCCTGGGGACACGGTCATAAGCCTTCTCCAAATCCACAAAACACATGTGGATTGGTTGGGCAAACTCCCATGCCCCCTCCATCACCCTTGCAAGGGTATATAGAGCTGATCCACAGTTCCACGGCCAGGACGAAAACCACATTGCTCCTCCTCAATCTGAGATTCAACTATCGATCGGACCCTCCTCTCCAGTACCTTGGAGTAGACCTTTCCAGGGAGGCTGAGGAGTGTGATCCCCCTATAGTTGGAACACAACCTTCGGTCACCCTTCTTAAAGATGGGGACCACCACCCCGGTCTGCCACTCCACAGGAACGGCCCCCGATGACCACTCAATGTTGCAGAGACATGTCAACCACGACAGCCCTACCACATCCATAGCCTTGAGATACCCAGGGCGAATCTTATCCACCCCCGGGGCTCCGCCGCTGTGTAGTTTGACTACCTCAGCAACTTCTGCCCCAGAGATTGGACAGTCCATCCCCAGGTATCCCGGCTCTGGCTCCTCCTCAGAATGCGCGTAGGGGGGATCGAGGAGCTCCTCAAAGTATTCCTTCCACCGCCCGACTATAGCCCCAGTTGACGTCAGCAGCTCCCCATCCCCACTGTAAACAGTGTAAGCGAGTTGCTGCCTCCCTCTCCTGAGGTGCCGGACAGTTTGCCAGAACATCTTTGGCGCCGATCAATAGTCTTTCTCCATGGCGTCACCAAACTCCTCCCACGCCCGAGATTTTGCCTCGGCAACCGCCACTGCTGCACCCCGCTTGGCTATCCGGTACCCGTCTGCTGCCTCCGGAGACCCACAGACCAGCCACGCCCTGTAGGCCTCCTTCTTCAGCCTGGCGGCTCCCCGAACCTTTGGTGTCCACCAGCGGGTACGGGGGTTGCCACCACAACTGGCACCGGCCACCTTGCAACCACAGCTAGCAACGGCCGCCTCAACTATCACAGAGTGGAACAAGGCCCACTCTGAGTCAATGTCCCCCACTGCTCTTGGGACGCGGTCAAAGCTCTGCCGGAGGTGGGAGTTGAAGACCGTCTTTACAGGTTCTTCTTCCAAGCGTTCCCAGCAGACCCTCACTATGTGTTTGGGTCTGCCAGGTCTACGCGGCATCTTCCCCTGCCATCTGATCCAACTCACCACCAGGTGGTGATCAGTTGACAGCTCCGCTCCTCTCTTCACTCGGGTGTCCAAAACATACGGCCGCAGGTCAGACGATATGACTACAAAGTATATCATCGACCTGCAACCTAGGTTGCCCTGGTACCAAGTGTACCGATGGGCATCCTTATGTTCGAACGTAGTGTTCGTTATGGCCAAACTGCGGCTTGCACAGAAGTCCAATAATGAAACACCACTCGAGTTTAGATCAGGCGGGCCGTTCCTCCCAATCACACCCCTCCAGGTCATGCTGTCATTGTCCACGTGAGCATTGAAGTCCCCCAGCAGGACAATGGAGTCCCCTGATGGAGCACTATCTTAGCCTAGTGAACTAGACCAAATTCTTGCTTTGCAAAGAATGGTCTAGGCATGCTCCATTGGAACCTCAGCAGCTCCTACCAGGACTCTGGCTAGCCAATCACAGCTCTCTAGAGGGGTTTCAAACACATAAACAGCTGTGATTGGTCCATAATGGTGGGCCAATCATAGTGCTCTATCTGCTTAGTGAACAAATCACAGAGCTTTATCCGCTTTGTGGGCCAATCAGGGCACTCTATATGCCTGGTGGGTGGGATGATGCAACAGAGTGAAACAAGAGTATGTCACATTCATTGTCCAGTGGAATGCAGAGGTCATTTGAAAGACAACGGTAGAACCCGCCCGACAACCGAGAGCCGTCAATGGAGCATGGCCAGACTAAATAATACATTTATTTAGTCTGGCTTGCCAGGCTAGCACTATCTAGCACTTGCCAGCGAAGTGATGTTCCATGTCCCAGTAACCAGTTTCCTTGTTCGGGGATCGGACCGCCAAGGCTCCCGCCTCGGTCTGCCACACAATCCACACTGCACCAGACCCTTCATGTTCCTCCTGTGGGTGGTGGGTCTACAGTTGGAGGAGCCCATGTATCTGGTTCAGGCTGGGCCCAGCCGGGCCCCATGGGCGAAAGCCCGGCCACCAGGCACTCGCTCACGGGCCCCAACCCCAGGCCTGGCTCCAGGGTGGGACCCCGGTAACCCTCCGGGCCGGGTACTCCGACTCTTTGTTTTTACGTCCATGAAAGATCTTCTGAACCGTTCTTTGTCTCATCCTTCACCTAAGACCCATTTGTCATGGGAGACCCTACCAGGGGCACAAAGTGCCACAGACAACATGGCTCCTAGGATCTGTAGGGCACTCAAACTCCTCCACCACGATAAGTTGACTGTTCAAGGTTCAAGGTTCAATAATTTACACAGGAAAATCATGAAGATTAGCAAGGCTGTCCAAACGTTCACACCCCCACTATAACAGGGTCTCTGAGGGATATCAGAAAAATATCAGTGGTATTGTTATAAGTGTTTGCCTTTAAACATCACAAAAATTAGACATTTTTTCTAAATTAATGTAGTTTTTTTTACATCAGAATATTAAATTGTTTCAAGGACATTTACGATGAAAACCTCAGATGTTATTGTATTTTTTGTCCATGTTATGCCCTAAAACACAGGAGAATATCCACACAATATTAGAAACAATGGGTTTCCCTTTAGCTGCTGCTATTGTCTCATTGAAAGTGTGCTGCGGGTGACGTTGACCTAAATCAACAACCACTTCATCCATTTGGACAGCCTCCCAGCTCACAACTCTAACCATCTCATCTAAAGCTTTTGATTTAATGAAACCATAAAGCTTTCCTGCCCACTCTGTCTAGCACAGAAGAAGATTGCTGTAAAACGGTCTTTGAGCTGCGACTTAAATAATCTCTTGTTCCCTCCTCACCTCTCCCCCTGTCTGTCTCCCTGACTTTATCTGGATTAGCTGTGGAACAACTACTTTCACTTGGCCGTGGCCTTCCTCACCCAGGAGTCTCTGCAGCTGGAGACCTTCTCGAGTGACAAACGAGCGAAGCTCTTCCACAAGTGAGTACCAGATCTCTTGCAATCCGCCGCAGATCCTCACTTTACACCGCCACAGTTGAAGTTCTCCCAACAGGATATGCACACTTCTGAGAATCTTCACAGCAGTTCTGATCAGTTTTTACCAAAATAATCAGGATTTGCTCTGATTATTTGAATTTCATACTCGTACAACGTCGCACATCCGTTTTAAATCCATGAAAGTACTTTTTTTACAGACTTCCCGCTCATCCACTCTGTGTTTCTACAAAGAGGCATCTGTCTGCATTAGTATTTCTCCCAGAGTCTGATAATGCATTCAGACAGACAGATGCATTCTGGGAAGACGTTGAGCATATTGGCTCCTGTCTTCATTTGGAGGCAGATTTGTCAGCAGAACTTGCATCACAGTGGCTCATATGTGATGCACATTGTTGTTCAGGTTGTTATTATCAGCCCTTATTAGCTCCTGCTGGAAAATCTTTATCTCACTCATCTTCATCGTATGAACACCAGAAGGTTTGATTTATCAACACTAACACTATAGGCATTCTCTTGATGAGCTTCAAGAGGAACTCCTTCAAGAGTGTTGGAAAACCATTTCAGGTGACTAGCTCTTGAAGCTCGTCAAGAGAATGCCAAGAGTGTACAAAGCAGTAATCAGAGCACAGGGTGGCTATTTTGTAGAAAATAGAATATAAAACTTGTTTTCAGTTATTTCACCTTTTTTGGTAAAGTACATAACTCCACATGTGTTCATTCATAGTTTTGATGCCTTCAGTGAGAATGTACCAGGTCCTGAAAATAAAGACAACAGAGAAGGTGTGTCCAAACCTTTGGCCTGTACGGTACATGAACATTTATGGTATCATTTTCCATGTAAATATAAATTAACTATATTGAATATAGGGGCACTGATTTGAGACTGCGAGGAGGTTTAATGACAGAAACACAGTAGCAGCTGGATAAATGGGTGTGCAGCTGTGTCATTGTTATGATATGCTCATGTGAGTGATGAGCAGAAGGAGCGTCATATTGTCAGGCTTTGGGAATATCTCACACTTCCTCTGTTTGGGCTTTGATCTTATCCAAACTGCTTTTACAAGCCACTTCTTCCCCTCTCACTGTGTCTGTCACTATATATTCTGTTCTCCATCTCCTGCCTTCCCAATCACCCTCCATTTTCCCACCTCTCTCTGGTGATCTTTCCTTTCTGGCCCAGTTGCATTACTCAACGCTCTGCCGACCCTCTGCAGACGTGTTATTATTAGTTCACCTCCGTGGGAGCTCTTTGCACGTAGCTGACAGGTATGCGTTGTAGTTCCTGACAGCCAACAGTCATAGCTGTCTGTCTCTCTGTCTGCATGAGTGTGACAGGAAAGCCCCCTGCATCTGTCCCGGCGTAGACAGGGATTCGGTGCCTCGTGCTGACATCTGCACGCACATATGTGGAACACGAGCCTCGTTCCTTCTGCTCACACAGAATCATGCTGTGTGGATCTGTGCACACAGATATGATAATGAGATGCAGAAACACTCGAGGATTTTATTTATAATGCATTACGTTTTTTCTTTTTGCCAAGCATTCGTTAAGACTATTCTAAATCCCTGCCAATAATCTGCCCGAGATCAATCCTTGGGCTCTGCACCCTTCTCCCTTTGACAGATGAGTATAGGGAGGTTCTTTGACGTGGCGTGGCTATAAAGAGGTGACACAGCTTCTTTTTTGAGAAGTCTTTCAATGCTTTTATCTTTTGTGTCAAAATACATTAGTGCACCTTTCAATGCTATTGGCAAAATGGTCAGTTTGACTTCAGGATTCTGTGATAGCTGCTGGATGCTTTGAAGTTGCACAATGTGTGGAAAAGGTCTCTGAATGGATATTAGTTATGGGTCAGAAGAGCTGCCACGCTTAAATGCTACTCTTTTCACATCCTTAGTGTGTCGTGCTGTCAGTGTGCATAGAGGACAAGGTAGAGGGGTCAGTGTGTGTGATGGTGGGATGTTGTGGATGGGATTTAAGGGCTGCTCCCTTAGGCACCTGTGGTTGTATAGAGCAGTTAACAGCAAGCTGAAGTAATTTAAAAACAAAACACAAGCTGCTTAGTGTATTCATTCACAAGTGTCTTTAAAGCAGCAACTTCTGTTTGCAGATGGGAGCACTGATTTTATAGCGGTGGAAGGGGGTTAGGTGCCTGTCTCGTAACTGGAGGGTGAAGGATAGAGTCCCGCTCAGTCTGTTGCACTCAGTGTGTCCTTGGCCAAGACAAAACCCTCCTTGCCTGATGGTGGTGGTCAGAGGGACCAGTGGCGCTAGTTTCCGGAAGCCTCACCCCCGTCTGTGCGCCCAAGAGCAGCTGTGACTACATTGTAGCTCATCACCACTAGCGTTTGAATGTGTGTGTGAATGACTGTTTTGCTGTAAAGCACCTTGGGGGGTTGTAGAACCCTAGAAGTGCAGCAGCGGCATCCTGACCAATCACAAGCTTGCAGTCTCCGTCACTTTCCACATATAGTTTAAAGGTTGGGTATGAAGCAACTGCCGAACGTGCCACAACTGGCGAGATAAAAAAAATTGTTTATAAAATGAGGCCTATTTCATTTGTCGGTGTCGTCGTGTCGAGAGGGGGGGGGCTGGTGAAGTAGCGTGCCGGATCTGTGGTTTCGATTGGTTAGGAGTACGTAGTGAGTCTAGTATGCTGCTACCTGATAGGTTTTAATGAGAAAAGTAAACTTTTCTTTATCGAAGTTTTATCGACCCGTTTTTTTTATTATCGCACCACATGTCAATCCATAGATATATTGAACTATTGAATTATCGTTCAGCCCTAGACGAGATGTCCAAATATCAGGACCCATCATTCCAAATCCTGTCGTCTGAAGCTCAACTCTGATGTGGCCATCTTCTAGTTCCTGAAAATGATGAACCAGTGCTGTTTATTCTGTTGCCTCCCAGCTTACAATTTCTCTTACAGCGACAAACATCACAAGAAGCTAAATAAGTTAGTTAAAAATGTGTTATACACACAAAAAGTCCTGTAAGTGTTTTTTGTTCACAGTTGCACGTTTGATCATATTTCTATGAAGTCAGAACATTTCTTTAGTATTTTGCAGGATCAGGGTGATCAGCTAATATGTAAACACGCATCAGAGAAGCGAAGTAGTTTCACAGCTCTTGATAGAATTGTGCAACAACTTTTTTGGTGAGTTTTCATCCTGCTGAGCAACGCAGGAAGGCTGATGCCGAGTCTGCTCTAAAATCTGAAACACTTGGTTGAGTTCAGTGCCGTTATTCCCCACGGGGAAGCAGCAATAAAGATACATCTAATTATTTATCAGCATGCAGTAGTGCGAGGAGAGTGCTCTGAAATCTGCTCCAGGAACCAGGGGGAAAAGGTCAGAAATAGCTCTCTGAGGATTACCTTTATTATATTCTTGATGAAAAAATACATGCATCTTAGTTAAATCAATATTTTTGTCAATAAAAGAAGATCCATTACTTTTAACTGATCATTTTCACTGAACTGGCCCCAATTTGTACCCCTATTTCCAATCTTGTTAGTGTCTCCATAGTTCACTCTGTCCTTCCAACTCGTGACTTGTCCTCCCTTTGACCCGAGTCAGTGGTGTATGTATGGAGACTGGCGCCGACCTCCCGTCTAGACCTGCTTCTGACCTGATCAGCTCATGACTACCGGTTCCACAAAAGCCTTAAAAAGTTATTTCTCCACTCCTCCTTGAAAACTTTATTTTATATGAAGGCTCTTGACATGACCAGTCAACATGATCAAAAGCTGTTCTTTTTGTTATCTGTTCTTCAGACTTCTGAGTCTTTAGATATATAACCAGAGCAGAGAGGAGAGTGTGTAACTGGCAACCAGCTGACACCCTACTTGAACAGAAATAACTCAAGTTTACAGTTCTATGCATCATGACAAAAATACATTTCAATACCATCAGTCTATATAAAATCAGTTTTAATATCACTTTTATTTGATTTTTTTTTTTCACATTTTGTTTTGCCATGTAGCTGCAAAAAAGACCAAAATCTCATCAACAGTGTTTTGTGTTTAGTTCCTAGGAAATGCTAGAAAATCAAGTTTTATTTGAAGTTGGCTGGTGGATATATATTGCAAATTTGTTTCTTTCACTGCTTTCATGTTCATTTTTAATTTAATGTCCTACTAATGTCCTGTAGAAGGTTTAGATGCAGGATTGGATCTGGGAAGTTTTTATTGGGAGAGTTAGAAAGGATCTGATAATCCAGACGTGATGCTCGAAAAAACAGGAGTCTTAACATAATTATATCCATTCATTCATTTTCTGAGCTGCTTAATTTTTGGTATTGTTATGGAGAACCAGTGCCTTTCCAGCAGTCAGTGGATGAGAACTGGGAGACACCCTGGACATGTCTACAGTCCATTACAGTGACACATAGAGACTAAAGCATCTGCTAAATACATAAACATAAACAAACAAAATAAACAGAAACATTTTGGCCTTTTACTGTTCTCTTGTGCTGATTTAAAAATTTTCTGGAGTCAATACGCTGCATCCTTTCAGCCTGTCCTAATGAATGGACTCAAACACATTTGGGGGCTTGTCCAGGATTGTTTATATCTATGGCTGCTTGATAGTTCATTGTATTAAAGTTACAACTGATTTTGGTGCTTTTCCCACCCTTGAACAACTTGAGTTTTGCACAAAAGAGCAGTAGCTCTTTATCAAAACCATTTGAAAATAGTGTATGAATGGGTGAATGTGGCTCATACTTTCAATCGTTTTAACTGATTTGGAGCACATACTCAATCCAGCTATCATTTGCTTTCTATATTTCAGAATTTGACACTAACATGTATAGGGCATCTCTGCCATGTTTGTATTCCAGGTACCAGGACATGAGAAGACAAATCGGCTTTGAAATCAGGGATATGTGGTACAATCTAGGTAATTTCACTCTCTCAGGCTCAGTTTTCACTTTTTAAAAGAAGAGAGAATATCTTTCCTACATATATTCACACCATTTTACAGCTGACTTAAACAACAGCAATGGTTTTCTCACTTTGTGTTAATGATTATATGAAAATTAGGTTTCCTGGAAGTCATTATCTGTCAGCCAAGTAGAGGGCTTTGGCTGAGTTATGTACAGTGTGTTAATTGGCTTTACACATTCTGTAGCTGTCATGTCTAAATTAGAAGCATGTTTTAATGTTGTGCAGGAAGTTAGTTGTTATTCTGACTGGAATATTGGTACTCAATTTCTATTTTAATTGAACAATCTAATCCTTTATTTCAACCCTTTCACTAATTTATTAATTTTGTGTTGCAGTAGAAGTAGGAGACAGACTTAAAGAAACACATTTTGTTTGTGACTTCATGATCTACACATATTTGAGGTTTATTAATTTAATGCTTATTAAAAATGTAGTTTTTTTTTCCTCAAGGCCCCCACAAGATCAAATTCATCCCAGAGATGGTAGGTCCCATTCTGGAGATGACACTAGTTCCTGAGATTGAGCTACGAAGGGCCACCATCCACATCTTCTTTGACATGATGCAGTGCGAGTTTCATTTCACGTGCAGCTTCCAACGGGTACGTGTTCTGATATATTAAACTAATTTAGCAAAGCAGGGAGAGAAAGGAGTCCCAATATTGTAAGGGGTGGTAATAAAAGAGTTTTACAAAAAATATATAACAACCCAAGTGGAGCACATTGTAGTCCAATTGATGAGAAGTAGCATTGCCCAAAAGCCTGCTTGTGATTTCGCAAATCTCATTTTTTTGTGCTGCAATTATCTACAGTCACACTAAGTGGAAGTTAATACTGTGGCTTTTTTATGGTAGAAATTAAGCCTTTCTGCGTGAGTAAATCCATTTGGCTACAGCTCTTCTGTCAGACGATGATTTGGGCAGGTTTCATCCCTCAGAGGAATTCACAAAATATGTGATTATAGTGCTTCTTGAATCACATTGTAAAAAAGAGCTGGGTTTGATGTCTTTTGTTTTCCTTTGACAGTGATGATTTACTCAACATTCTTTTCTTGGGTGACTTCTCAGTTTAATTGTACAAATTGTTGCTATTTAAGCCAATCAGGCTCTCGGGTTTTGCACCCTGAGAGTTGAAACCTCATTTCTTATTCTTTCCTTCTTTGGCTTCATCCCTTTTAAGGCTCTAACTCTTTATTGTGTTTCTTTCTGGGGTCTGTAATACACAACAGCTTTTATGTCTTTTCCCTTTACTTCTCGTATCTGGTCAGTACACAAGTGCATCAAGTGAACATAGTTTTGTTTCAGCACAATAAAATCTGTTTTATACAGCTGCTACATCCAAATATTGGAGGAACGGGTCCATGCATCAATGTCAGTGGTTACAGCAACAACAGAGCAGGAGCAAAGGAGACTTGATGTATCCTTATTCTGTCTTCTAATAAAATTTACACAGATTAGAAAAAGCTTCCGTAATGAACCCGAAAACACGCGCTAACAGCCAGCTGGGCCGCGAGAAAAGAGGGTGATTAAAGTGGAGCCCCCAAAGCCCCTCAGCCAAGAGCCAATGCAGGGACAGGGAGATGGCGTTAATGAATAGAAAAATTAGCGACAGTGATTATTTACGCCTGCTCTGTCTAATTACAGTTTGAGAACGAGATCATCACCAAGCTGGATCACGAGGTGGAGGGGGGTCGCGGAGACGAGCAGTACAAAGTTCTCTTTCAGAAAATGTAAGTGCTGATTAATGGGCAGGATAACGCCTGAGCTTCTCACAAATCAGATAATGCCAATTGTGGTGTAGCACTCCTCAAAATAACCAGTGTGCTGATGATCACATGACTTCACAACACAGCATGCCACTTCTACGCTCTCACTAGGATGCTCACTCTGTCCTGTTACACAAGTTAATGTTTGTCCCAAAGTTTAACATTTTACTGTCAAAGAAGCCTCTTAAAATTTCTTCATCTCCTTCATAATGGCACCTGTCTCTCTTCCTTTATGTCAACAATCACCAAACAAACATAAGATTGCTGGAGCAATGCAGGAAGCACATGTACTTGGCCAAGACGGGCGAGAACTTTGTCACTCTGGTAGTGCGTCTGCTGGAGAGGCTGCTAGACTACAGGACCATCATGCACGATGAGAACAAGGAAAATCGCATGAGCTGCACCGTCAACGTGCTCGTAAGATCCCCTAAAACGCACTGTCTTTTACTATAAGGGTTATTTTTCTCACAATCTGGCTCCAGTGGTGCATAAAGCTAGCTTACAGCAGTTCTGTTTTTTTTTTTGTTTGCCCCCCCCCCCCCCCCCCCCCCCCCCCCCCCCCCCCCCCCCCACTGCTCAAGCTCTCCTTTTAGAATGAAAAATTGGGTCTATCCCAGCATCAGCATTTTGCTGGACCAACAGGAAGAATGGTTTTCTTCAAATGCAGTAGTCTGGCTCAAAATAGACCAAAAACTAATAAAAGTGTCTCTTCCACTTTGCTTAATTTATGATAAAATACTCTGCTGCTACCTAAACAGGAAGACAAACTAGAAGGAGAGTAACACGAGCTCATTGTCTCGCATCTTTCTTCAGTTTGTGTGTTTTTAATCTCCAGTAAAATAGTTGAACTGTCTCAGAACACTGCATTTAACTGCCTTTGCTAACTGTTTGTAAATGCTGTTTGCAGCTGTCATCAGCTTTTTTATTATCACCAGCTGGTGTTTATAGATCCTGCTTTAAATTGTGTGTGTAACCGTTGTTTGCAGTCGTATTTATAAGTATACCCACTGGAGGTCAATGAAGAACAAACATGACTGTTGTTTAAAATGGAATTTAGGAAGCCAACTGGTGGTGTTAAGGTATTTGTTTGCAGAAGCAATGAAGCAAACTGTAACTGGTGTACGTAAACTGTCTCCCTATACTGTGATCATCTACAGAAACTCACCCCTTCTTTCTACCAGACGCAAAAGTGGCACGTAACAAAATAGCAGCGTTTTACCCGCAAGCTTCCTTCCAACTGGGAGCGATTCTGACGCGAAAAGGGAACGAAAACATTCCATGCCACTGGTCCCACAAAGTCACTAAATCACTGGAGAATTGCAACACCATGCATGATTTTTGAAGTTACAAGCAAAGAGAAAGAAGCTGCGTGTATCTAAATAGGTCTGTGGTTTATATTCTGTTCTGTTGAAATCGGCTACGGGGGGTTGCACGTTTACCTGCACCTGACTTTTTAAATTTTTTTATGTTTCCGTATGTTTTACACTGCTTTCATGTTTGTAGTTTAGATCGGACCAGACAGGAAGTCATAGTTAGTGAGAGTGTCCCTTCGCTTCTGGGATGCATCCAAAATGTTACAACCTATCCACTTTAACAGTGCACGTAGTACATTTCACGGCCATTTCGCAACGCTTTCACGTCCAGTGGAATGAAGGGGTCAGACTAAAACAGAGAATCAAAACATCCTGGAGCTGAACCAGATCTGCACTCAGCAGAAACACTGGAACATCATTGGTGGTAAAACATTTAGAAAACCAAATCCCACATGTCCTTCTTCATTAGAAGGCACAAATGTATCTCTGGTATGTTTACATGAACAGTTAGCTGCTTTTTGTAGGGCCATTGATGCTAATAATTCAACTTTACTCAGTAATAAAATAATGACATTTATTTAAATCCCAATCCTTTCTGAAAACCAGAATATCACGTAATATTTTTCCATGCATGAAAAACAAACTGCAGGATTTTCTGTTAATGAAAGTGCTTTGAAGCTGCTTTTCGTCTCATTTCTCTTTGCTCTGTAGAACTTTTACAAGGAGATTGACAGAGAGGAGATGTACATCAGGTAAGATGCAGTCTAGCTTCATGGAATATGCTAATATTTCTAATCATTCACTTTTGTGGAGGCATGTCCCATAAATCACTGAGGTAAAACACGTCCCCTGTTTAACATCTGAGTGTTTTATATGTCTGCTATTAGAGATAAAATGAGGTGGAATTGTCAGTATGGCTGTTTGTTGTCGATGAGGCCAGTTCATTATGACCTTTCCATCATTATGTATTCCTGCCAGGTACCTGTACAAGCTGTGTGACCTCCACAGAGAGTGTGACAACTACACTGAGGCTGCCTACACCCTGCTGCTACATGCAAAACTGCTCAAGGTACCGAAACATAGCTGGGAAAATTCCCAATATTATACTAAGAGCTACTTCTCAACTGCACTAAACTTTTGAATTTAAATCAAATGTTTCATCTGCATCCATTTTAATCCACCTTGGCACCTTGTGGCTGCTGAGGAGGCAGAACTGCTGAGCAGCATCTTTTTCGCCTCGTGTAGCCGATGCAAGTCACGACTAATATCTGATCTTTCCTCCAAAGGAGAACAAAAAACTCATCAGAGTTAGAGCAGAGGAAGAACACTCATCAGCAGCAATATGAGCTGTTTTTGATTTATGGACGAAAACAAGCGCAGTTGTTATCATTTTCATTAAAGATACAAATAGAGAGAAGTTCTCATGAGGATTCCTGTGATGATCACAACCGGTTGCTAATGAAATTCTTCTCCTCAGCCTGTGAAAGTTTCTCCTAGCCAGAAATATCACCACCCAAAACTCCTTACGCAACAAACCGCAGTGTCTATTCCCAGCTGGGGTTTGTTACACCATAAATTTAGAGTTTTTCCTGCGTGCCTTTTATCCACAACTGTATCATCCGATGTCTCATCTGTATTTGCATAAATAGCTTGCTGCTTCAGCCCCAGGTTCTGTCAGAGAGGAACAGGCTGTGACTGAGTCCCGTTTTCCTCTCTGACTAGTCACATTTGCAGGAGTTAATCGGCCCAACTTTTAGCAACCGTGCCTTTCTGGTTGTAGCAAACAGGAAGAATGTATTTAGTATTTGTTCTGGAAGTTAACAAATCCTGTTCTACCAGTGTCTGAATAATTCATTTTGTCTTGTTTATGGGCACAAAGGAAAATCGAATAAGATCTGATGCAACGAAAAACAAGTTTATTTTTAAATATGCTGCTGGAGGATGCAATATTCCACTAAGATAAAATAGCTGGATATTTTATTATTATTATTATTATTATTTTGGTTCCTCAGTAGAACATAAATCTGCAGTTAATAATAAATTTGATTATTTAAAAGGACTTTTTATATTTTCAGCTCTTTAGCTTTGTCGATTCAGGGAAACAGCCATCTATGAATAAATGTGAGGATCATTTTAATGTGAATGTTGCAGTGAAGCTGTGAAGAAATCAGTAAGCTAAGCCTTCCTGCTTACCTCTCTTTATACCACAGCAACAGTGTGCAGAGCCATTACATTATCACTCATCTCTGGGATGAGATGTGCAAATGTGACAACCTTTCGGTTTCAGAACCTGGTCAAAAGTTCTAATTCGTCCTGCTTTTCCACACAATTCCTCATACACACATATAGGATACTGTTTTTTATTGATTGTGTTTTTTCAGACATCCATAAATCAGCCAACCAAATTTATTTGTAGAGCACCTTCTACCACCCCACCGGAAGCCCAAGGTGCTGAACAGTATGTAAAAACGTGGATAGACATCATAATAGTTAAGAGGATAAAAATAGCAAAAGAACTATAATAGATAAACACTAGTAAAAGCAATTCAAAACCAAAGGTAAAAATACAAAAGTTAACAGTGTTGGGGTAAAGCTAACAAGGAAAAATTAATACGAGATTTAAACACCTGAGAAGATGGAGCTTGCTTTACTGCTAGAAAGAACTTGTTTCAAAGGGTTGGAGCCATTACCGAGAAGGCATGGTACCCCATTGATCTCAGTTTAGGGCACGGGATTTCCAGCAACTCCTGCCCAGCAGAGAAAAGGGCCCAAGAGGGGACACACCTGTGTCATAATAAAAAAATTAAATTTAATAAAAACAAAACAACATTTAAGTCAGTGGTAAATAAAACAAAATTTGGTGTGTCTAATACTCGTATATATACATAGAAGAAGAAGAAGAAAATATCATTTCTATAGCGCCTCTCAAGATAAAAATCACGAGGCGCTTCACAAAAACAAAAAATAAATAAATGTAAAAATATAAAAAAGCATTTAGAAAATGTTTAAAAATATATTTAAAATGAGCAAAAAACAAATCTGGTCCTAAAACAGATCCCTGTGGTACACCACATACAATATTCATGAATCTAGGATTTACCTTTTTGATGCTGCATAACTGTGCATTTTTATTTTAGTTAGTTTTGTTTTTTTTGGCAGAAATTTGACATACTTTACAAATCAAACATTTAATATTACTAAGTTTTGGTTGTATGTATTGTCGCATAATTTGAAGTCTCTTCTATCCACCTCATCGGGTCTGCTTCCAGGAGTCTGGAGTATTCTTTCTGGATTGTGAAATAGATTTTTTTTTTTTACCTAAAATTAAAGCAGCATACTTAGAGTTGAGCTGTGGAATGAAAGTTTTCCTAAATCGGCAGCAGTTTTCATGATTTTCATTTTAGCGTCACAACAGTCAAGGGAGAATAGAAACATTTGATTTATCAAACAAAAACAAATACATACGGGTATGGTTGATCCAAAATGTGATTTGGTGTAAAATATTGCTTGTGTTTTTGTTAATACATCAATTAATCTCTGCAAAAATGCAGAACATTGATTCATTTTGCATTGATTCATGCATCGCTGCTCATGCCTCAACCCTCCATCTGCAAAAGAGTAGGACGGCATTAAAAGGAATTACGCATCAGTTTCTCTCATTTGCTATAAGTCGGCAATTGATTTCTCATCACCCACTCGCTTATTTTGCTCTGCGTTGTTTTGCACAGCGCTGACCCCAGTGCTAATTTGTTCCCCGTAGTGGTCAGATGAGCAGTGTGCAGCCCACCCGACCCAACGAGACGGTTACCAGGCCGCTACTCAAGGACAGCTCAAGGACCAGCTCTACCAGGAGATTATTAATTACTTCGATAAGGGGAAGGTAAGATTAGTGGAGCAGAAACACACATCTGCTTTTTGTTTTTCTCTTGAGCTAATAATCCTCCTCCTTTAGATGGATGAGGGTGCATCTCAGACCACAAAAGTATTATTATTTTGTCCTTTTTTCTAGCCTAACCTTTTATAAAAAAGCCTTTCCCCACTTCTCTTATCATGCTTTCCTTTTTCCTCTTTTACCTTAGTACCACATCCGTGCTGTGCTGAATGCCATCTGTGCCACTTGACAATGAGAAAATGTCCCATCTCATAGAAAGTTGTTACTGCGTTATTCTTCAGTATTCTCATTCTTTTCCCAAAAAGATGTTGTTTTTTTTTTGTTTGCAAGCTAAGCCCGGAAGAAATCTGCAGAGCTGTAGCCAGATCATCTCAGGGATGAGGTCCGAAACGCGTTTGGATGCAGAATCTGTTCTTGGTACCGGAGCCAACTGTTACTCGGCAGAATTTAAGTTGGGCAGACAACTGTTTGAAAGAAACTTGGATATACAAACACACAGGAGGGAAATCGATGTGTTATAGTGGCTGCAAGAATGCATCAACACTCGAGGGAGCGGAGATTCAACCCAGTGTCAGTTTGTAGGAGTCTGACAGAAAGCGGTCCCTGATGGCGTTCCCACCGTCGCTCTTACTGACGGCAGCCTGATCTGAGATGCAGTCTGGACTCGGTCCATTCTGGTCCAGCCCATATTAGCTCAGAAGCCTTTCAACAAGTTTCAGGGGTTCACATCTATTTGTGGCATCACCCTGCTGCAGGAGATCAGCATGGAGAGAAAAGCTAATAGGCATTGAATTAGGGGTTTAAAATAAACAAAACAAAATCTGTTGATATTAAGTGAATGCAAATATTTCCTCTGGTGGGACATATTTATTATCTATGATGAAGTAATTCTTTGACTATCTGTGTGTTTTATAGATGTGGGAGGAAGCGATCATATTGAGCAAGGAGCTGGCCGAACAGTACGAGAATGAAATGTTTGACTTTGAGCAGCTCAGTGCGTCCTTGGTGAGTAAGAACATTCTGTAACTGAACTTTTTAGAAGTGTTTCAAATTATACTCACTACCAATAGAATAGAATAGAAAACTTGATTTATCTGACAGCAAAACGAGAACAGAAAACGATCGTTCAGCATCATAGGGAGCCTAAGTCTCCTCCCTTTCCGGTTGGCTCATGGGTCCCCGGAAGAATGAAAAAACGAATGCAAGTCAACAGGACCAAAAGAGCTACTTTCTAATCTGCTTTGCCTTAGACCCTGGATTGCACGTGTGTTGTACTGCAATTTAAATGAAAAGTAATGATGGGTGTTTTGACCATGTCTGACATGCACTTTGAGATTTATCAGCGTGTAAAAGTTTGTAATTAGCACGACTACACGTCCAGAGAATCTCCTCTGCCCTAGCATAGCTGCTACTTACCACATGGCCAGATTTATGGTGGTTCTTTCCTCCTGAAGGAAGAATTTGAAGTTTGCTCAACTTAGAGCCATTTTCCCTCTGTTTTTCTCCGTGTCTGGTTCGATGACGACACTTGCGTGATTTTTGTGCATCTATAGTCCTGGGCTTATTTTCACACAAAACCTAAATTAGCATTTCCCCCTTTCAAAAATGATTGCGTTCTTGCCATCAAAATGCATCTTTATGTGTCTCCATGGCATGGTGGGGCGACACTGGCACAGGAGTTAAGTGCTTGCCCCATAATAAGAAGGTTGCAGGTTCGAGCCCCGCTCAGTCTGTCGCTGTCGTTGTGTCCTTGGGCAAGACACTTAACCCACGTTGCCTGCTGGTGGTGGTTGGAGGGACCGGTGACGCCAATGCTCGGCAGCCTCGCCTCTGACAGTGCAGCTGCGGCTACATTGTAGCTCATCCCCACCAGGGTGTGAATGTGTGTGTGAATGGGTGAATGACTGTGAATGGGTGAATGATTGTGTTGTAAAGCGCCTTGGGGGGTTCCAGGACTCTGGAAGGCACTACATCAAATACAGACCATTTATCATAACAAGTGGAATTAGAATATAGCGTTTTTATCCCCATTGACTTGCATTCATTAATTCCTTCTTCTGGGAACCCATTTTTCAGAAGTAAATGGGCGTGACTTAGGCTCCCTATTCACACTCAGATAAAACGGTAAAAGTCCATCAGATTGTAAATATATACACTGAAAACACACAAACAAAAACATGTTTTAAGGGTTATTGAAGTTCCTTTGATACTGAGGGCAGTGATTGTTGTTTGAAACTGCTGACACTGGTAAATAATCCACTTTTCTTACTAAAGAATTTTTGCCGAATAGAAGAAACTGAGTAATGGAAAAAACAGGCATCATGAACTTCATACCTGAGTGCTGTTGCCATGAACACATTTTTATAGATTGCTTTTTTGGCCAGTGGGACTTTGCATCTCCTGCCTGATGGGAGAAGACTGAAGGAATGATGGAGGAGATGCGAAGGTTAACAGCTAACTGTCAAGACTAGCAGAAGTAGTATGGCAGAAAACCTTTTTTGTTTGCTTATTTATTTATTTTGTGTGTATTTTTGCGGGGGTGTTTGTGTTTACTTTGTACACAGCAAATACCAAAGCTGTGAAGCTGTATTGGAGGAAACTAAATCTTGACGTCTTATCAGAATATGATAATACCTGTAATCTGTCCTACTTGTGAAGGTGTGTCACTGAATCGTAATTACCACCACCATTTACTACCTATAAATTCTCTCTCTCGTGTTTCTGTAGCTGCAATGTCTCACTTCACAGGATGACATCAACTCAATTGTTGTCTTTATATGAAATTGTAGAAAAACAACAAACTGGATCTTCATGACTTCCTAACTACTTCCACCATGACATAAGCCTGCTGCTGTTTTCAGTAAAATGACAAAACGCTACACTGATTTATTAGCCTGCAAACCTTATCATATTTGTCATGTAGACACATATTTGTAAAAATTAGCAAGGAAATAATTATCATCGTCTCAGATTCAGAGGCCTAAATCTTAGACCGTGCTCTTGAGTCGGAAAAGGGTAGAATACCTTCTCCAGGTCAGGAACGAGGTCCTGCCCCAAGTGGAGGAGTTTAAGTATCTCGGAGTCTTGTTCATGAGTGAGGGAAAGCTGGAGCGTGAGATCGATAGGCGGATTGGTGCTGCATCTGCAGTGATGCGGGGTACCGATCTGTTGAGGTGACGAGAGAGCTGAGCTGGAAGACAAAGCTCTCGATTTACCGGTCGATCTACGTTCCTACCCTCACCTATGCTCACGAGCTTTGGGTAGTGACCAAAAGAATGAGATCGTGGACACAAGCAGCTGAAATTAGTTTTCTCCGCATGGTATCTGGGCTCTCCCTTAGAGATAGGGTGAGAAGCTCGGTCATCAAGAGGAGCCAGTTGAGGTGGCTAGGGTATCTATTTAGGATACCTCCTGGTCACCTCCCTGGTGAGGTTTTCCGGGCACGTCCAACCAGGAGGAGACCCATATAGAGACCCAGGACACACTGGAGGAACTATGTCTCTCGACTGGCCAGGAAACATCTTAGGAATCCCCCGAAGGAGCTTGCCCAAGTAGCTGGAGAGGGGCGCCTGGGCCTTTAGGCTTAGGCTACTGCCCCCTCAACCCGACCCTGGATAAGTGGCTGAGGATGGATTAAATTATCACGGTGCTTTAAGCTACTCAGTGGAGACTTTTTTTCTTTCAACAGAGGAAGCAGGCCCAGTTTTATGAGAACATTGTGAAGGTTATCCGACCCAAACCAGACTACTTTGCTGTGGGATATTACGGAATGGGATTCCCCTCCTTCCTGCGTGTGAGTACCTACATTAAAATACATTTTCCATCTTCAGCTGTTGTTAAATATGTGATCTCTTTCTCACATTAGGTCCCATGAGTTCTAGTTGTTGTTTTTGACCCGGTTATTTTTGGCTTGTTCGCTCACTGAGAGGACCGAACTGTGAGCTGAGGAACAATGAATTAAAAACAATATTGTTTAGATTTTAACAAGGTCCTTAACTGAGAAACCATTTTTTACTCTTTTTTTTTTAAATGATCGGTCATTCTCAGTTTTTTATGCAGACTGAACATGTAAATAGTCTCCTACACCTATCTCCTGCATTAGCATCTGATACAAAATAGATGGTGAAACTTTAGGATTTGACAATAGTCAATGGTAGAGTTGCGTTGCTGTTAGCCAATCAGAGGAGAATTGTCCACATATCAGGAAATAAGACTCCAAATCCTGTCGTCTGAATCTACTTTCTCCTCTGGCTGAATTCTCCGTGTTGAAATAGGCGCACCGGAGCTTTTTCCCCCACAGTTTTATACACCTACAATAGTCTCTCTGATCTCGGCTTACAAGAAACAACCCAATCTATATGGTCCAATCAAACCGCTGATCTTTCAGCTCTGATTCCATCCCTTGAACCTCAGCTAAAAACTATTTACTCCACAATAAAAGCCTGGCCTGAATCACAGAGCCTCACATCACCGTCTGCACAGAGAAACAGGCACAGGAAGTGGAATGGTCACATTGTAAATAGCTTTTAATGGCTGTTGAATTGTGGGCTTGATCCCCAAAACATACACACTGTATGATCTGTAGGATTGGGCAGATGTTTTTAGCTGCCCTCAGTTTATTTGTATTTTACTTCACAATGTTAAAAATATTCAATAATCTTTTTTCCCCCATATATGAGCTGCCTCAATGTGGTCACACCAAGCTGAGAGCTTTTATACGTTTCTGGGTAGTGATTTAATATCGGGCATCCGGAATAGAATTGTTTATTTCCAAAACAAAGCTTTAAAATGAGATATTCTAATATTTTAATATTCTTTTTATTTCACCTTTAAAGGGACATGTTGTTCAGTTTTTGTGTTGGAATTTAAGAAATCTGCCAATCTGATTTTAGCTTTTCACAAATTCAAGGTTGAAAAAGGAACAATTTCATAAAAAGCTATATATTTTTTAAATAATACCTCGTTTAGAGGTGTGCAGAATGAATGTATAGTATTTCCTTCATACGCTCTGTTTTAGTGAAAAAACAATCAAATATTTACTTTGATGGACATGACACTGGGTTTATGTTTACACATACCTGCCAATAGAGGGCACCATTGAGGGTTAACAAACTGTCCACTCAGCACAGCGAGGTTAACCCTGTGGAAAATGGCAGACTCTGCAAGTCCAGCAGCTGTTTCTGAAGTCATTATCCTTCTCAGAAGAGGAGCAACCATAAAAGATCTAAAACCAGAGTGAGTTTAGGTGAAGCCTACAACAGATGGACCCAAATAAATAATTTACATATCGGCAGCGACCCTGGTATCCCGACGGCTGGAAACCTTGTTGTGTTGTTGCAATTACAACCTCTACGCACTAGATGTCGCTATGGTGTTTATGTTCCATATGCCGCCTTTAATACACGTCGACCAGTATTTTGTGAGACATTTTGTTTTGTTTGCTGTCTTCTCAGTTTGTTTTAATCTGTTGCACATGTTTGCTTTAATATTTGCTTCTGTGTTAGGCCGTCAGCTGGCTCGTCACCCAAGGTGTTGTTTTCTTGTCTAGAATTATTCTCTCATGACACAAGCAGCACGCTCAATGGTCCTCAAAGTGTCAATCTCCATCATGCTCTTTTCATTCTAATATGAACAGCAGACCTTTAGGCGAGGTCCTTTGCTTACTTCCGATCTCCACGTGCCCCTCCTAACCCCTTTTATCTGCCAGGGCAGAAACTCCATTACAGACGGGGCAAACCTCGCCGCCCTAATCTAACTGGCTCTTTAAACAGCCTTTCAGGGCAGCTTGGACTGTTTTATTCTTTCTGCGTTTGACTGACCTTACCCAAATTCCTCCCCAGTAGGAGCTGTTATGCACATAATTTATTAGTTTATTGTTATAATTTGTGACTTTCTTTGTATTTATTTTATTATAAACAAATAAAGCAGTACAGACTTTGATTGGGAGACCTTAATCCAGCCTTTCTTCCAACTCAATTTTACCTCTTTTTAATTTTCTGACAATAATTTGAGTCAGAAAGTGTTAGAAGGAGGTCATTTAATCACAAAAGTCCAGCATTGCGTTTCTTACTGTCTGTGAGAATGTTTTGATTATAGCACCTTAGTGAAAAGATAAAAACATAAGGACGCATTCAGTTAAGGGTAACTAATTACAATAAATTCAGTTCAGAAGCAATTTTTTTTCTTTGTTTCTTTTCTGTTTGTAGCATTACAGTATCCTCAGGGGAAAGCCAGTTATGTGAGAAAATCAATTTCCTTATGAAGGTACTTTGTACCACCCCTCTCTAAAAATTGATTTCATGCAAGAGTGTGTAATTCAGCTGTTTATGATTTATTACATCTTAATATAGTTTGACATGGAAGTATTTGCAAATCTAAATTGTTTTAGATCTCATGTAATGTTTTAAAAACTCACACGCAGCAGAAGACCCTGTTCTCTCACACTAGCTGCATGGAATGAATTTAAGATAGATTAGATGGATGGATGGATGGATGGATGGATGGATGGATGGATGGATGGATGGATGGATGGATGGATGGATGGATGGATGGAGGGAGGGAGGGAGGGAGGGAGGGAGGGATGGATGGATGGATGGATGGATTATTTTAAATAGTTGTGTATTATTTTAAATCATCTAAAAATTGTAACTTGTAAAGTAGCTTTAATTTGTGATAAAACTCTCCTTTTCTGTTTTCCTATGTAAATAGTTGTATTTAGCTTGCTAGGACTTGTCGTGCTTTCTTGAACACATACTAATGGAGCTTTCACAGGAAATGACCCTGAGACTGCCAGAACAGAAGTTTAGTCATTTAGGCTTATTGTTAAGACCTCACAGGGTCACTGACCTGTTCACCTTCATCATCATACAAATAATTGTTTTTATTTTTGTCTTCAACATCCAGCTGCAGAGCTGACAATTCATTAAGTAAATCAGAAACTTCATATCAAGAGATCCCCAAGAGAAAATCCTTGGGTTTCATGTTTTGCTGAAACCACGACTGCCTGCTGCTCAGCAGCACACATAACTTGGGGGGCTGTTATTCACGCTGACACTTTTTTATGTTTGATTTTTAAAAAGGCCACAATTGCTCTGCGTTAACCAAACAAAACCACCAAGGCAATCAACCAAATGCAACATCCTGAATGAGAGTAATCAGAGTAGAGAAAATAAATGTGGGACAATCCAGCTCTACACAGGCTGATAATTTATCACATTGTAGCAATAAAAGCAACGTGTTTATGGGTGGGTTCTGCTTCGAGGGCTGATTAAGTCCAGCTTTACGGACATTTAGAATAAAAAGATGCACACGTTGTTAGACTTCTGCAATTGTAGAATAAGTTAGCTCTCAGCTATCAGAGGTGATTTTATCATTAGGCAAAGGCAGGCAGTGACTTGGGGCTCAGAAAGTACATTAAAGTAACACTAAATATTTAGTTTTTACTATAAGCTAGAGCTTTACCATTGATCTCAGTGATTGTAAGGCAGTGTTGGGAATGTTACTTTTAAAAAGTAATTAGTTATAGTTACTGATTACTTTGTCAAAAAGGTTACTCAATTACTTACAGAGTTACAAGATTATAAAAGTAACTAATTACCAAGAAAACTAATTGTTACTTTTTTCATTAAAGAATGCAAGAAAAATGGGTTCCCATCTTAATTAAACTTACATTTTAGTAATTTATAGTAAATTTAGTATGTCCAAATGTTTTTTAATAAAACTGATTCATTAAAATAATCGGGCACTTAACAGGAGGAACAGCAAACAGGAATATTACAATAATCTGGACTATTAAAATGTCACTGTGTGATATTTAACAAGACCCCAATCAGCTAACAATTATAATTGCAAATAGAAACACCTGTAAAGGTTCCTGGGCCTTTAAATGGTCTTTCGGTCTAGTTCAATTACTGAAATAAATTTAATTTTGTACAGTATTCTAATTGTTCCAGCTTCACATAATTGTGTGTGTTTTAGTAGCATTGCTGTTGCTGGTAATCTAGTAATGGTAAAATAAATAAAAATGCTTTAAAGTGACACTAGAAGAGGCACACATCTGATGGAGGATTTAAATTTACTAATTGGGTCAGATCCAAACACAGAAGAGCCGAAGCTTGGTGGTGAAGACACGCAGATAGTTCTAATAACACCTGATAACATGCAGTAATGCTAACAGCCATGATGCATGTATAAGAGCACCCCTAGAACACCTACCCGCTCCACTAAACTATCGAATGTGGTTTTTTAGTCAGAAGAGGGCTGCAGAGTGGTGTCAAATGAAACTGGTCAAGTTTCTAATCCAACTTTCACTGAGATCAATGTTAAAGCTCTAGCTAAAGAACTATTTTGTGTTTCATCTTAGGTGTGTTCTTGCTGTGTCTTTCTAAATCCATTCTTTCGTTCTTTTTTAAACACAGAAACAGTTTTGTTTACCTGTTTGTGTTACTTTAAAAGCCTACAGCATGAGTAAAAGGACAAATGGCAAAGCTAGAAGTTCTTGAACGTGTCGACAGTCTACCAAAGCAGAAAGATCATCAGAATGAGACCTGCTAATACAGTACAAGATGTGCAGAAATGTATCATGAAGAACTTCTACCTCCCACTGCTTGAAGTATAGCTAGCCATTTTACTATTTAATAGCTGGTATATTTAAAGAAGATATTCAGAAACATGTCTTTTCCAAAGTGTTTAAACTCTCAAGAATCAGGTATGTTTTATTCTGACTTTTCTAGAAGCTTTCATTATGATTTTATGTAAACAGCCAAGTGTTTCTTATAAATAAATGAATAAAAAGTGGAACTGATCTTCCCGGTGCACAGTGGTGAGGAGTGTACAGCTTTAAGTACAGGTTCATTTAAAGCTGTGATGTCATTGTTTCTGCATACTCAGTTAAACGAGTGTATGAAGGACTAATTACTAAGATTTTAACTAGGAGATTCAGTAGCTGCAGTCTTATCCTGTTGGTGAGTTCTATTCCTAAACTTTACCTAACCCCTGGTTTGATCCCCAGTTCCCTGTGACAGCACATCTTAAAGAGCAGCTGTGTCAAAGCTGGTCTGGAAACGTGTCTCATCAACGCCACATTAAAGGACTTTGGAAGTGAGGTGCCAGGTTCTATTTGTGGAAACCCTTAGCACTATCAGGCAGGAGATAAACAGTCCCCCACACACACGCTTTTAGGAGCTGTCCTCTGTCTCCTCCTATAAAGTTTTATTATAACACAAGATGACCTTTTTATCGGTCCCTGTTGTTTGGACAGCAGACTGATGGAAGAGTCCAGATTTGTTTTTTCTGCCAGCTTGTGCAAAAAGCTCGACACATGATAACATGCATTTTATTTGCACCTGGTACCATTACATTATGTGATTTGTTCTCTTTTGTCCCTTGACTGTGTAAAATTGCCTTTTGACCAACTGACTGCAAAAGAAAGGACCATTTTAGCATGTATGATTATCTCAATGACAATCATTTTCAAAACAAGTCGATGCTTGTTTGAGGGTGAAACCAGAATCATGACACGGAGGTGACTTCACGCACAATCTGAACAACATAATGAGAGTCTGCTGTCTTGTAATGGAAAAAGCCTGCAGTGTTCAGAGCTGGTGAAAGATCTTCTCTTATCAGGCTTTAAAGATTTTTAAACATCCAAGGACAGCTGATCAGTGTGAAAACTGCAGCTGTGTTTTCGCAGGCTGATGAGAATTTACTTTTGTAAACTTGTCAAAGCAAATGAGCCCATGCAGGCAAAAAGTACGGCTACATTTCATTTAAGAGTTAAGATGTACGCTGTGCATGAAGTCTGGGCTTTAATCTGTGGCGGTTTATTATCTATACAAGAAAAAGCAGATTTTATATTGGTCAGACAATCCTCTCCTGATCTGATTCTGGGGGTGGATTTGTGAAACCCCCAAAGAATAAGATTTACCTTTTCTTTTTTGACAGATTCTAACTTAAGAAATTTCTTAAAGAGCAAGTCACCCCCTACAAGAAACTTACTTCACTCTCTCTTCATGTTTAAAAAATGCAACAAATGATGTTGCCTAGCAGACCGAGAGGGCGGAGCCACTAACAAATACACACACACAGGCTCACAACGGCATTGTGACATCATAATGTACCAGTTTACATCATAGCATACCTCTTAGCCAATAGCGGTGGTAGATTTAAATTCAACTGCAGTGCAGAGTTTTTACCTGACAACAACACAACACTGACAGTTTTAGGCAGAAAATTTAAATTTTAACTGAAATGCACTAAAGTGCTAAACTATTGACTACACATGTCTGCAGCACGATTAGACACACATTTATATAGTTTATCAGGAAAAAAAGCTGATTTGGGGGTGACTTGCTCTTTAAGGTGTTCCGCTGATGCCTCAAACTCACTTTAGAGCAAACAGGTGATGTAATAGAAGGAAGTCTTCTAATAAATTCCTTCAAAAACTATCAAATTCTTCTTCATCTAAGAAGGAATGAAGACTTTTAAGTGTCACAATGCACAAGAAACCATATGGTGTTTTGTGCAGCCAGCTGTGACTTCCAAGCTGTGTATCTCATCGAATATCTGAATTAAGCTAATGAACGACTTTAGTAATCTTAATTTGGATCTAACAGATGCATCACTTGTTTTTTAAAGGAAGAAGCTGCTAAATTGTTCACAGGGAGATGGTACAGGCCTGATGTCAGCTGCCGGGCTCAGTTTGGATAATTACACCTTCTTACTGAGTAGAAACACTGAGAAACCATTATTACTTATTACTATTGAAAATGATCAGTAACTCTGAGTTTTTCATGCAGGCTGAACGTGAAATTAGTATCCTACACCTATCCCCAGCATTAACTTCTGATGGAAAATAGATGGAAAAACATCACACTGTCACTTAACATTCAAGGACTCACCCGTCTTGGCTGGCGACGGGGAAGGCTGTTGTTGGTTTAGAATCCAGGAAACAGCAGAGGCCGTCTCGACTGGTAGACTGGTAATGGTTATTTTATGCCTGAATCCGTGCTCAAAAGGTGCACTAGAGCTTTTTTCCCCAGAGTACGACTGACAAGGCATTCCCACATGAGACCAGTGGTCTCTAGTGGGAATTGCAGATGTATTAAAAATGAGTAAAGTTGGCCTTTAAAACGGCCCAATCAGTGGTGGAAGTTTTCAAAAGTTCACATTTCAAGGCAAGAGTCATCTGTCACTTTTACTCCAGAAGTCATGAGAATGCTTTCATCCGTATGGTGCCATCAGGCTAAATAGGTTTACAAATTTAAACGGCTTTTATTTGATTCTGTTTCCTTTTTTTTCCTCACTCTTCCCACTATCCCTTGAAACTTGTTTTAGTTTCTAGATTTCATTAAATCTCCGTTAGGACACTCTGTGTGGTATCATGTCGTTTATGTCCCTAGAGCAGGCACAGTGTACCTTTAAGGCGCCTAATGTGTGCAGATGAGCCTGTTATCCTAAATGCATTCAAGTCTCTTTGTTTTTTTCTCCTCATATTTCAGAATAAAATGTTCATCTATCGGGGGAAAGAGTATGAGCGCAGAGAGGATCTTGAAGCACGACTCCTCACTCAGTTCCCCAACGCGGAGATGATGAAGACGACGACACCGCCCAGCGAAGACACAAAGCACTCCTCTGGACAGTGTATCCTCAGCATAATATCACAAAAAAAAGATGTATTTTAAATTGTGATGCGTTAGATTTATTGTTATTCGTCCGTACATTTTGTGAAAGCACAACAAGAAGCAACTTGTTGTTTTCTACATTTTGTTGATACTTATAAAATTATATTTATACATTTGTAAGATTTGACTTTGAATCCTTAATTAACCTTAAAATGCCCGACTCCCACCAGAGAATGCCTCTGTTGTGTCCTTGGGCAAGACACTTTACCCACCTCGCCTCTGCCAGCCCCAGCGCAGCTGTGGCTACATCGTAGCTCATCCCCATCAGAGTGTGAATGTGTGGGTGAACGACCGATGTGTTGCAAAACACCTTGGGGGGGTTGTAGAACCCTAAGATGATGCTATACAAATACTGGCCATTTACCATTTGGTAAAATATGCTCACTGGGGGCTGGCACACCTGCTTCAGGCCAATATGGGGCAGCAGTAGCTCAACGGGTTGAGCGGGTTGTCCAGTAATTGGAAGGTTGCAGGTTCGATCCCGGCTCCAGACAGAGAATTCTGCTGTTGTGTCCTTGGGCAAGACACTTAACCCACCTTGCCTGCTGGTGGTGGTCGGAGGGTCCGGTGGCGCCTGTGCTCGGCAGCCTCACCTCTCATCTCCACCAGTGCGTGAATGTGCGTGTGAATGGATGAATGATACACTGTAGTGTAAAGCGCTTTGGAGTCCTTACTCTGAGAGGCGCTATACAAGTGCAGGTCATAAACAACACAAACGGTCTAACATTCACCTTTTCATGAACTTGTCTCCTGCTGTCCTTCCTTACGTAATATTGTGCACAGTTTTTTTTCTGTCATGTTTGATTTACAGTCAGGCTCTGCAGCAGTGTATGAGATAAGTTGGACTGAATCAACTCAAAGGTGTGTGAGGTGTCGTAAATGTAGCAGAGAGTTTAACGGTAAATTCTCATCTGAAGTCTGAGGAAGGAATGAAACGGATGTGGGGTTGTCTGGTTGCTGTCGGTTCTTTGGAAGTCAAAAACGTGAGGAACACGACCGTGAGCATTCTGGATGCAGTGGCTCCATGTGCACCAACAGGCGTTTGTGTGCAAGATGTTTATGAGCTTAAAAAATACATGCAATTCAATGTTGTTCACTTTTAGAGAACATACTTGTTTGTGCGCCACCCACTGAATTTTGTCTTTAATGTCATTAAAGTTTAATCTTCTTCCAGATTGTCCTAATTTAGAGAAAAATCTTATTGTCATGATTTCCTTGACCTTTTTTTAAGACATCCAGGGATTCATTGTGAAACCTATCCTCAACCTCCCCACCAAGTTCCAGAACAAGCCTGTTTCTGAACAAATCATCAGGTGAGTCCTCACTCCGTTTTCCAGTTTCCGAGGGTGTGACTAAAAGTAGCACGGCTTGTATTTCAATCTGCCAACGTCCAATTTACTCTCCCCGACCGGTCAAACAGTCGATAGAGCTTGTGATGACGCGCTGAAGGTGCATTAACGTCTTTTGCGAGGAGTGCAGAGGACCGCTGGGGTGAAGGTGATTAAATCTTGATTTAAATGTGGCGGTGTGTAGAACAAACACTGGATGACCTTCTTGTTGTTCTAGTGGCTGTTAACGTTCACCAGCCATCTGCCATTAGTCACTGTGCCAAGTACAACATTGCTTCTCTACCGTCATTAATAGCTTTGTGTCAAGCACCGGGGCCACGGCAAACAGCGGACCCCCCTGCACTCCCACATGTCTGCTCGCCAGCCGAGCTCTGCAGCACTCAGCTGTGCAAATTCACTCTGATATGCCACCCAACGCATCAATGCACATAATTGAAAGCGGGCATTTACTTGGACAAACCTTGAGGCTAATTTAGCTGGGCACCGATCTTATCGCAAGCCTGCAGCATTGATTCTTTCAGCAAGCCTCGTTTGCTTGTTTGCTAACTGTGTCCGACTGGATTTTGGGGCTCGGCTAATGGCCCAAATTATGCAGTCATGTTTGGGGACTGACAGAGAAACGTTCCACACAGACTGCCCCTCCCCTATTTTGCTGCCAATTCAGTCTCAAACCCTCTCCACGCTGTTCCCACTTGTCTTTCTGTCCCTTCTCTCGTGCCCCCCCCCCCCCCCCCCCCCCAATTTATTTTCTCATTCAGCAAGGGGATCAGTAGTGCATAGCAATGGGACTGAGCCAGTTGAGCCAAAGGGTCACAGCCGCAGGCAGAGCTCAGCTCAGTCTGACCTTGCTCTGCCAGACCGGGTCGCTCCATCATCTTTAGCCTGCCAGCTAATGGCATGTTAACGGCTTTAATGGAGGAGCAAGCTGATTTAAATCTGCTTTATTAATCTGTTTATTGGATCAGAAATATGGGTCTTTTTTTTCACTCATTTAGGAAAAGGTTTCATCATTATTAGCACTAATAGAAACCTCTGAATTCCATAGGAACGTGAGACTTGGCTTTTTTGTTATGATTGTAACAATCTTCTTTTTTGTTGCCTGTTAATTAAAACTCTGTATTCTCTTATTGCTCTGGAAGCACCACTGCTCATTTTATATTCATAATTATTTGCTGTTAAATTCAGATCATGCTCTTTAAATATATGGCACAATTTTATGGATAGTAAATGCAATATGGTGTGTAAGGATTATAGCTTTGTACTTGTTTCCACAAGAGTGCGTGAGACTGTTGCTTTTCCCGTCACCATGAAAACACACAGGCGGCTGTTCCTGCCGCTGCTATGCAACGCCTCCATTTCCCAACTTTGAAAAGTCCATTAACCTGTTTTGGCAAAGTTCATCTCGGCTCGTCACGAGCTTCTGTTGCACATTCTGCAGCTTATCTGCATGTCCAACAAGTCGAGCTGACTTGATGAGCTGCCAGCGATGCGCGTGTGACCCAAAAAATTTATTTATTCTGCACATAGAGACAGGCGCTCCTCAGCTAGATGAAAGCCGCCTTGCTGAATGGTTCTGGGCAGAGGTAGCCAGGAGGGGGGGTTGTCCTGTGTTTGACCTGAAGCAAAGTAATCAACCTGTATCAATCACGCAATAGATTCCCTGTAACTGTTTTAATTTACTCTGCCACGCATTTTCTCCCTTCCCAGCTTCTACACAGTAAATGAAGTCCATAAATTCCAGTATTCCCGGCCAGTTAGGAAGGGAGAAAAGGATCCTGACAACGAGTTTGCGGTAATTTCTTACCTTTTTTTATCTACACTCATTCTGAATCAAAATAAATGCATTCAGTTTGTTACAATTTGTGCACATTTGCAGAGTTTGTGGAGGCCTTGCTGTAGACTTGATTCATTGTACACACGCAGGTAGAGCTCCGTAGAGATTAGCCATCGACTGTGTATACTTGGGAGTTTACACCAAGGACTTACTATAATAAAAACCAGCTGAACTTGTGCATTTGCAGCTCAGTACCTTAAATAGGTAGGAAAATAGCTTCCTGCTGTTTGCAAACACTCCCAAGAGTAACACACACGCACAAACACACTCGCTAATAATCCACAGAATTGACGTTATTGTTAACTACATGAAAAGCCATGGAACATCTAGACGTAACGAGCTGGTTGGCAGGGATCTAAATATTTCTGATTATAATTTTACCATCAGGTCTCGACTTTTAGAACATTGAATCAATTGTTCTTGGTGAGCTTTCCGTATCCAGTTGACAGTGACGAGGAGACTAATTAAACTCAGTCTTGCTTTCTTTTGTGTGTTTACTGTGACAACAAGTCCGCAGAGCAGGTGATGAATTTAACTCATCGGAGACTTTGTCACGATTGGGCTTTCTCTGTCCTGCTTGGGAGCTGATGCATATCTCCTGGAGGACACGATTATGTCTGTTAAACCTGCCAAACGCCTCAGTTTATACTAATATTTGTAACCCAGAGAGAGCGATGAGTCTAGTCTCTAATTGTTCCATGAGAAATGCTGCCAGTCGTCCGTCTTATAGCAGATTTATGTTGTCTTACTGGGCCTCTCCACCAGACACACAAGTGTCAAATGACGTCAATCAAGCGTAGTACGCAGGTATTAGCCACCACCCACCACCGTGTCTCAGAAGCGTAGTGATTCCTCGCTCTGTTAAATTTTTGCTTTGTAATTGTAATTGTAAATTGTTGCTTTCTATTATTTTTTACGCGCTGCACTTTCATCAAGCTGTGCGGTTCAGACATTGTAAACTTTCAAAATACGACATATGCAGATTTCCAGTTGCTTGTCTAGTGATGCCTCTGTAGCCGAGGTAAAAAGATAAGAACATAAATCACAGACATGTTTGGATAGATGCAGCTATCTCTCTTTGTGTGTCTGTGTGTGGACTGCTAAAATCACAGATGATTTTGTCAATCTCCGGTCATTTTGTGATCTCATGAGTCCAGCGTGGAACGCGTTCACTGCCGATTCTCGTCTGAAACGATGCCGGTGGGAAGGGACGTGCCGCTTACACATCCAGTGGAGACGTCGTGTTAGGCAGTGATGTAAATGTCATCATCACACCTGTGTGCTTAGGTTGCCCAGCCTCCTGGGCCTCCAGCCCTTATTTTTGTAAACTAAAAACATCCAAAGTAGCAAGAGTGATATGAGTTAAACTGTTTCTGAAGCCTCACACATGACAATGAGCTAAAATCAGACATTTAAAAACCTAATTTAATTACCTTATTTCTATAGTAACTGTAAAAGATTACAACTACATTTGTTTTGGAGTTAAATGATGTAATTCATGCCTACCCAACCCTGCCTGTTACCGGCAGCTGTTGTTTTATTTTATTTGGGTCAGTTGTATTCATTCCACTTTCTTAGACAAACTAAGTTTTTTATTTGTTTTTCTTCGGTCTTTGGTGTCATTGACAGAACATGTGGATTGAGCGGACCACGTACACAACCGCTTACAAGCTTCCCGGCATCCTGCGCTGGTTTGAAGTCAAGTCAGTTTCCATGGTGAGTATGAAAGGCCCTTTCCTGATCAAACGAGGGTCTGCAGGCTCGCTTTTAAAGGCAATTGATGCGATCGGTCCTCTTAAGCAGTATAGACACCCGCCTGGATGCAGACGTGCCATTCCCCAAACTAATGCTTAACACGCTTTCCTCATTGCCAGATGGCCTCTCATTGATTTACCAAGCACTCCTGCTTCCACTGAAAATAACCACACAGCACAAATACGACTTAGAGGGCAGTTTGGCCTTCTGTCGCTGTTGATTTTCTGTAGAATCTCCCGTGGAATACCTGTGCTAAGGAGGTCTGGCTCTAGTGTTTATGGTAAAGCTTTAAGTCGGCTCATTGAACGGACTAGAAACGCATAAAATATTGCTTCTAAACTTAGCTCAGTTAACTGTATTGATTGTTTAAAATGCTTGTTCCAGTTGTGGGCTGGGATGTTTGGAGAAAGGAGTTCATCAGCATCATTCAGAGAGGAGGTGGCCGTGTCACTTAGAGCAACAACACCCACTGCATCTTTTTAATTTTCTTAAGTTTGACGCCAAATAAATCTGCTGCTTAGTTTGATTGTCCTATTCCACAATCAGTTACTCTTTAGTTGTTGCTTTTATGCCCATGCTTGTTAAAAATCCTCAGAAGGGCCGCCTTGCACACTAAGGTGTTTATTCCTCTGCATTCAAAGCTGTCAAATAGAACCGAGCATTTCGTTTAACGCAATGATCCCCCAGGAAGATCCATTTTTAGCACAGTCGTGACCTCACCGACCCTCGGCTCCCGTGTCTACACGGCGGTGTTTTATTCTCTGTTGTCATAATGATTCAGAGCGGATATCCCTTCCTTCAGGCTGGGTTGGAACATGTTGTAAGTAGCAGCTTGCCCTCCGGATGAGCCAGAGGGAGGCCAGGTCCCCGAGGTCAGACTTGCTATTTAAAGCTTAATGACTAGGCTGAGATTCACCGAGATTAATCCTTCCATCTGACAATTCTTTTTTATCAAGCTGGCCTAAGACACACCAGCACAGATTGGAGATTTGTCTTTACTTTTCTTGGCTCTTGTCTAAAATCTGACATTTGCTCAACAAGCCCCTCATGTTTCGGCTAAACTCTCGGTACAGGGAGTGGCTTTTATTCTTTTACTGAACCGATCACACGGCTCCCTTTAGGGGGATAGACATTGGAAAAGGCTTTCATGTGGTGCTTTTTTGGTGATCAGAATCAAACAGTGTAGACAAACAAGACGATTAATGTATTTGCAAAGTAAATTGACAAATCTATTTGGGTCATTATTGTTTTGTGTACGCTCAACATCTTCCCCGATGTTTGTACGTGCGTTCACACCGAAACCGGCGAGTAAATGCTGATATTAGCTGATTTGACTCATTTTATTACCCAGGAGGAGATCAGTCCGCTGGAAAACGCCATGGAGACGATGCAGCTGACCAACGAGAAGATCAGCAGCATGGTGCAAAGGCATCTCAGCGATCCCAACCTTCCCATTAACCCCCTCTCTATGCTGCTGAATGGGATAGTGGACCCAGCTGTTATGGGAGGGTTTGCAAACTATGAGAAGGTATCAATATTATAAGTAATCCAATATTTATCAATCATCCAGTCAAGTTCAACCGGATTTCCCATGTGATCCTGTAGTTTTCTGTGTGAAATAGGAGATTCTTTTTTCCTATTTTTTGATAGAAATCAAAAAGAGAAATGGAACTTGTGGGTTTCCAGTGTTCATCCTTACCTAGAATAGATTTATACTGGACTTATAAGAGGTGCTGCATGAGTCGGAAGAGGAGCGATGGGAGACCTTTGCCCTCTGGTCACGGTCTCATTTTAGTGAAATAGTGCGGGTGGTGGAGCCCAGATTGATGTCTAGATTACATCTTTTTTTGTATTTAAACCGAGCCACCCCACAATGCTTCTCTTGTCTAGTTCCTGCCCCTTTCTCTTTCTTTATGTCAAACTCCTCGACATTTCTGTCTCCGTCTGAGCGGATTTTCCTTCTTTCAAACGAGCGTTCTTTCTCCTATGTCTCTTTTTGCTCATCCTCAGGCCTTCTTCAATGACAAATACATGCAAGAGCACCCAGAGGACCTCGAGAAGATAGAGAAGCTGAAGGACCTAATTGCGTGGCAGGTGAGTTTGTGGTTTTATCTGGTTTTCTCTGTTTTGTTTGCCTGTCACAGATTTTAGAGTTCAAGGAAAGTGGCCACGGCTAGCTTGTCACACGTTGTTTGCTTTAAAAAATGACTCACTTACCTCAGTGGCGCCTGAACCGAGCAGAGGGACACATGGCCTACAGGCTGACAGAACGCTGAGTGTGGATGAGATGGTAAAGAGGAGCCAGAGAGCCATGACGGTGCACATTTGTGCTGCTTGGCCCATTTGCATAATTTATTTATAATTTGCACTAATTTGCTTTGGGGTGTTCACATACTGTCTCAGGAGCTGAAACATGCCAGCCTTGTTCTGCATCTAACGTGCAATAAATCCATTTCTGTGCACACATTCTCACTCTTATTGGTGTTTTACTGTGGACTTCATTCCACCTTTTTTTGCATCTTCTACAAATAACCAGCATGCACGGCTGCAGATAGGTCTGTGGTTTGTTGGTGCATACAAGACCTTCCACGAGCTTGACGACAGTGATTGAACAAGCAGGGTGAAAGTTGTAACAGTTCAAGGGATATGGAGGAATAGTGCTGAAGCAAACGTTCAGATGTTACCAGGACGCTCCGCTGCAGCTCGACAGCAAAAGATCAGCAGTGATGGTTTGCTTTGCAGCTTCTCTGAGCCTGGAGGAAGTGCCCACACAGCAGACGAGGACTGCACACCCCAAACGACTGCACATGCTGTTAAACAGCTCACCATGAAACTCAGCACCTCGTTTGGGCTTCCTCTTGGATTGATAAACTACTGGCTGACTTTTCAGTAACAGCCTCCGCCCTCTGGGATTCCAGCATGCTTCACCATGTAGGCTTTGTCTCACTTCTTTTATTGCGCTTTCTTTACTGTGCAGCTTTGAACCATGGGTCACATCAATATTCAGGAAATCAGGGTTTCCTGGCTCGTAATTCACCCGGGAATTAAGCACAGATACAAGTCATTTGTCTGTCTTTCCTGTCTCTGGCTGCGAGGGAAGATAATTGAATTTTTGATAGCTGCTCCTGTCTTAGTTGCTGAAAAATAGGTCAACTTTTTTGCTTCACATCTCTGCTGGAAACAGGAATCAGAGAATCATTCTCTTCAGTGAAATACCCAAAGCCTATGCCACCTTCACGCTTCCTGGATACAGCACGATCCTTATAATTATTTACTGTTATCCATATTTATCTATCAGATATTGATATTAGCTGAAATTGAGAAAAGTTGAAAGGTGATGCAGCAGCTGAGGTTGACCTAAAAACATGTTTCTCCTGCAAAGTAGTGATACAAAAGGGCATATGCACAGCTTGGCTTTACTGGTTGTTTTATATCTCCCAATCAGTTATTGTTTTACAGCTCCAATAGAAAGGAACCAGAGCAGCAGCAGCCTGCCGTTCTTTTTCAGAACTCCTGCATGCTTTTGCATCCTCGGTAAAAATGGCAAGTCTAAGTGTCTATTTAGAAAATGTCCATGTGTTTTTAAAATGTGCAAGTAACCAAATATATCCCAGCTCCAGGCTCAGATTAAAGTGTTTAAAAAAGAGAGCAGAAATGTTTCTTATTTAAAAAATCCCTTTTAAAGGTAACACTTAATCAGATTTGAAGTGATACTAGCCATCTCCTTGTCATAGACAGTGTTCCTATTAATCTCAGATTTGTCTAAATGAGACAAATGAAGGTGAAGCCGCTCTAACGAACAAACCAAACGAGGAAAAATGAGCCGTGTGAAGCACCCATTGTGCTCGTTGGGTAATTAGAGACGAAATAGGTGTCTGGAAATCGGGGAATTAAGTTCCGTAAAAAGCTCCCCGGCAAATAGAAAGTAGGTGTTTTTGTAAAGTTAATAATGAGCACATGCTGCACATGGAAAATCTTAATTACTGGCTTAAACCTCTCACTTTTACATGAAGAAAAGTGGTTCAGGTTCAGGAACAGAGATGGAAGACACCATCTGAATGGTTCCTGAACCATAACCAGTGTCTTTACGTTACTTTTCGAAAGCTTGTATTCCTGATTCTGCTGCTGTCTGCCGTATCAGCTCCCTTACTCACCAGGAGGCAGCGTGGTCGTCTCTAAGCCTGACTCAAAGTCTTCTTAAATTACTGAGATCAGAACCCCTTTCCCGATGAATCAAACAGTAACAGGCTGGCTGGCATCGGTTAAGAACAGATGATGGTGATATTAAACAGCAGTTAAATATATAAGGGAGTTACTACTCGTATCCAGCACGTTTAGTGGTTTCTAGTCCAGGGGTAGGCAACCCTGGTCCCAGAGAGTCGCAGTCCTGCTTGTTTTCCAACTTTCTCTGTTGTTCCTTCTGTTGATTACCTGGATCAGGTGTGTCCAGCCAGTTAGAAGCTGCAAGTTCATGCATGGCTGGAAAAAATGCAGGACTGTGGCTCTCTAGGACCAGGGTTCTTCTTCTTCTTCTTCTTCAGTTGTAAGGCAGACTAGACGCCTATCCGGCGTATTGCTGCCACAGCAACCTACTGTTTACACACAGATGATCACACCCTCGCGTATACACCGACCCGACGCAAGAAAGCCATCAGGGCGCCCACACACCGCCCATCCTCTGCTCTCAACAAGGTTCGCAAGCTAAAAACCTCCACCCCCACAGAACCCAAAAACCTTAACAGTGCCCTCCTTTGGACATAGTAGGCGGGTCATTCCAGCAAAACATGTTTCACTGTTTCTAGCACCCCACACCGGCACAAACCATCAGGGTGCTTCCCCACTAACAGGAGACACCCCCCCCCCCCCCCCTTACGAAGACAGCTATGGCCCAACCTCAGCCTCGTCAACACCACAGTCTCTCCTCCCGCTAGGAAGGCCAAGCTCAGAAACCCCCACCCGACGCTGCAGATCATAAAACGTCCTGCCAGTAAACCCAACTTCCCACGAGGCCTGCCACAGGTCAAACGCCATCTGACTCACCGCAGAGCGACACTCACACGGTCCCAACCCCACCTCCACATCCACCTCACACCTCGACAGCGCTCCCTTAGCCAAAGCATCGGCCTTCTCATTACCCTCCACCCCCACATGAGCAGGAACCCACACAAAACAAACGTCACACCCCAAACCAAATACTATGTGCAACATCAACCTGATCCTAACCAGTAAGTCAGGCCTTGACCTGGGGAATCCCCCCACCAATGCCTCATGTGACCGACCAACAGCTCCGAACACGGGCTATCCGCGCCCAAACCCTTAACCTTCATCAAATAGCGCAGCTCCAGGTTAATGCGACGGAACCCCAAAGGCATTTCACCCACCTCTACGAGGAGGGCAGCCACAGGGGTAGACCGAAACGCCCCACTACACACCCGCAAGGCAGCAGCCTGCAGCACGTCAAGCAGCTTCAGGGTAGTAGGTGCTGCAGTTCCACACATTAGACAGCCATAGTCCAAGGACGATCTAATCATGCCCCTATAAACCTCCAGTAAGGTGTCCCTGGAAGCCCCCCAATCAGTACCTGCCAGACAACGCAAGATATTCAGCACCCAACCACACCTGGCTACCAAAAAGCGCACGTTTCCCCCACCTGTACCTGTCATCCAACCACAGGCCCATAGCATGACACCCGCTCCAGCATGTTCCCGCCTAACATCAAACCCTCACAAGGCACAGACCACTTAAAACCAAAAACCATAAATTTGGTCTTGGACGAGGACAACCGAAAACCCCATCTCCGAGCCCAGGCCACCACCCCATCCAACCCCTCCTGGACCTTGTGAAAAACAAAATGAAGGTTCCGACCACGCTTCCAGAAAGCGGCATCATTGGCAAACAGAGACCTACCAAATCCACCACCCAAGGAGACGAACATCCCATTAACTAAGACATTGAACAGGACAGGGCTGATGACACTGCCTTGCGGCACCACATTGTCCACCTCAACCAACTCCGAAAGAGTGGAACCCACCCTCACCTGGATCATCCTACCCCTTAAAAAACCTATCCAGCTCGACATATTTCCTCGTTACCCCCACTTTGGAAAGGGACATCAGGAGCCCATCAGCCCACAACATATCACACGGCTTCTCTGTGTCTAAAAACACCACCAGCACCACCACCCTGTTCGCCAACCAGTGTTGGGAGTAACGCGGTACAAAGGTAATGAATTACTGTAATGCATTAGCCTGGCAAAGCAAGAATTTGGTCTAGTTCACTAGGCTAGTAATACATTGCTTTTTGCTGTAATGTGGTAATGTAAGGCATTACAGGCAAAGAAAATGGTAATATTTACTCTATACAATTGTCAGTAATGCAGTAAATGCAATACATTTTTAGACCCAGAATCAAGATGTGGGTTTCCTAAAAATTCAAATTGCGGGAAGCCTGAAAAAAGATCCGGTATCCACATATATGACGTCATTTATGGACTCAGCTTTGCGGGCATTCTACGAGCAGAGAGGACGCAGCGGTAACGGCTCAAATACTCCAGCTGCGTCCTGCACGCAGCCGCTATTATATTCACAAAATCGCTCCACCAAAACAAAGTAATTCGTTTGCGGTCATTTATATCAGCCCATATTCTCTGGTACTTCATGTACTTTTCAGCTGAGTTCATAATCTGTGCCCCGGTGATTTCAACTCATTGCTGTTGGAGCGCAGCGCATATTAAGATTTTTTTGCGTTCGGTAGATCCCTTTTGGCTGATTAATTAGAAAGTAGGAAATCTAGGAAACAGTTTTTCTGGAAGACGGAGAAAACATGCAGCATGCAGGAAGGTTAGAGAGAGAAAGGGCAGGAAATTATTCACATAAAATCAAGAAAACAAAACAAAGTGCTTGAAAAGAAAAAAATAGGTAGATTTATCCCCAATACACATTTTTACCAGTGAAAAGCAATAATATACATAAGCATTTAATATTTATACGTGATAGAATCAGATCACCCCAGAAGTCAGTCCCACATCCAGGGCCGTATCAAGGCATTTGGGGACCAAGGCAAATATAGGCTTGGAGCCCCCACCACCTCACTTCCTGCTCAGTTAATATGAGATGGCAGCGTGCTGAGAGTACAGATTGTTGTTGCTTTTATTTAGTAAACAATCATTTTAAAGCACTGTTATCATATCTGACTGTTTTTAACAGCAGTCCTAGCTCAGACACCACATCACCTTCCACTTATATGTCATGAGCTCACTGAGCGTCAGATTACCAGATTCATATTGAAGTTGTTTTGGTGAAAGTAACTTAAAGTAATGCAAAAGTAGTGTAATGCCTTACATTTTATTGTAATGTAATGAATTACTTTAAAATGAGGGCAACAAGTAATAAATAATGCATTACAGTTTTGAAGTAACTTGCCCAACACTGTCGCCAACGCCCTCTGAACATCCAAATCCAGTGGGGCAATGTTCATCGTGGGCATCATGGACCTTCCCCGACGAAACCTGCACTGACTCAGGGCAACAAAACCCGACTTCTCCAAAAAGTACACCAGTCGCGTGGAGACCATAGGAACAGGGTTGCCTGCCCCTGCTCTAGTCCAACACACTTGATTCAGTGGTTGAATCACCTGTGCAGCAGTACATCGGGCTCTGCAAAAGCCTGTTAATCACCTGCTTATTGAAATCAGGTGTGTTGAAACAGAGTTAAAATTAAAGCGTGCTGGATACCGGCCCTTCAGGACCAGAATTGAGTACCACTGAACTAAACAAAGGATTGTAATGCGGTAATTAAATAGAAATCAACATGCCTCCTAGTAGCTGGCTACAGTACAGGATAGAAGTCCTGCCCCTGTATGCGAGTGGATGAACATTTTTCTGACTAAAAGAATCAAAATAACTGTTCATTCTGATCTGTGTGGTTATTACCTGACTGCTATGTTCAGGTGTCGCTGCTACACGTGTCAGCTGTCCAAACTCAAATCAAACCTTGGGAACAACTCAAGCGCCTAATCATAAAGTGGATTTTATATTGTCCTGGTTGACTTGTCACTAAACACTAGACCCAAAACATTTTAAGCTCAGAAAAATTTCCCCAGTTTTTTTTCCGTCAAACTATTTAAAAATCAATATTAATCAATTAATCAAAGCTTTATTTATAAAGCACCTTCCGCAACCCTGTCGGGAAGCCCAAGGCTCTGAATATTGCTTCATCAACTAGATTCAGTCCTTGATTCATCAGCTGGTGGAACAGTAAGTCATTATGAAGTCATGTATTTGATAGATATGGTAATTTCTCACTGCTGTGTGGTTATTTTCGGTGGAAGCAGGAGTGCTTGGTAAATCAGTGAGGGGCCATCGGGCAATGGGAAAACGTGCTAACCGTTAGTTTGGGGAATGATGAGGAAAAAATCCCATTCTGAACTTGAATCTATAAAACAGCTAATTGAGTTATTTGTGTTTTTATCATTTACACGTTTAACTTTGTGGAGTCTGCTTTTAACTCTTATAAATCTGATTTAACACATCTTCTTGAGCTTATTGATGTTTTGTGCTGGGTAGGCGGCCCTCTGTAGCCTCAGCTTGTCAGACATTGTTGGAAAGCTGTGATTTTGCAGTTAAGAAGTAGTAAAATGTTAGGTGAGTTTTTTTTGGCTCAAACACTTTTGAAACAACTTTTACACATTTTTCAGTTTTAGATAAAAATGATAAAACCTTCAACCTTTCCTGCTATTTGTGCTCTGTTCATTAACTATTGCAATGAGTCCAGCGTTCAAACCATTTCTCTTCATAGAGACCTGAAACACAGTTAAAGCTCCCTATGAAGGTTTTATATGTAATTAAATGTTATCTTGTGTGTATGTGCATGCCAGAGTGCAAGTGTGTGCGTGCGTGTGTGCGTGCGTGTGTGTGTGTGTGTGTGTGTGTTGCCCTTGGCCCTAAGCATTGTACACAACGAGCTTATCATCGTGCAGCCACCATGCAGAACTCTGTTGCCATGCCACCACTCAGTCTCACTCACTCATCTTAAGGTCTATAAAAAGATGTGAGTATCCTGGGAGACGTGGATCTAGCCTTAGATTTCACTCTTTGTTTTTGTTTTTGCTTTTCCATCCTCACACTTTGTCCTTCTAACTTCTTTCCCTAAATCTTTCTCCCACTCTCCACTCATGTCTCCTTCCCTTTCCTTTACCCTCTTTTCCTCCTGAGTCTCCTCCTCTCCATTCTCTCCTTCACGAAGTCCCGGCAGCGGCGATGATGAAGGCGCTCAATATCAGGGGAAATCCGTGCGAGGTGTGAGTGTGTGTAGCCTCTTCTCATTTATCTTTCTGTGCTTTGGTTTTGTGAAGCACAGCACAGTTACTCTCACCGGATTTCAGCTGCTGTGATTCTGGCTCCGAAGGTTTCCCATCACAAGATGCTTTTAGTTCAGTGTCTAACATGGATGAGAACCTGGCAACAAACAGCACAAATGGGCTGTATGTGTGCTACCATCTTAGTTCCCATGTTTACAGGCCCTGCTGTGGAAGTGAAACATGGAGTTCTCCGAGGTTATTACAAAAGGTTGCATCATGAAAGGTGTTTTTGCAGCAAAGGGTCAGTTTGCCCTCTGAGGAAAGGAGAATAGGCAATGTGGCCGTGAGGAATGTCAGACCTTTTTTAAACTTCAGGTAGGCTTGTTGCTTCATCTTAGGTGTGTTCATGCTGTGTCATGGTTCTAATTCCCTGCTGTCGTTCTTTTTAAAACACTGAAACGGTTTCGTTACCTGTTTTTTTCGCTACATTTCGCCTGCGGCTGCAGGCTTCCTCAGGCTGACGCCGATGGTGGCGTCACTTCCTTCTCCGTTTATCCGCGGGCAGCAAGGACGTTGTCGCCCTCTGCTGCCCGCTCTCCCCTCTCCGACGATGCAGTCCCATGCGCGGTCCAACGTGTAAACTCCATCGTCCCTGTTCATGGTCCCACATCCACGTCTCCTTATCTCAATTGCTTCTTTTATCCATCTTTTGTATTTTTGTTGTTCGGTGTTTACGATCCTTGTGTTGTCCCAGTCCATTATATGGTTTTCTCTTATGCAGTGATCTGTTACGGTTGACTGAAGTCAGAACGAAAACCATATAATGGACTGGGACAACACAAGGATCATAAACACCGAACAACAAAAATACAAAAGATGGATAAAAGAAGCAATTGAGATAAGGAGACGTGGATGTGGGACCATGAACAGGGACGATGGAGTTTACACGTTGGACCGCGCATGGGACTGCATCGTCGGAGAGGGGAGAGCGGGCAGCAGAGGGCGACAACGTCCTTGCTGCCCGCGGATAAACGGAGAAGGAAGTGACGCCACCATCGGCGTCAGCCTGAGGAAGCCTGCAGCCGCAGACGAAACATAGCGACAAAACAGGTAACGAAACCGTTTCTGTGTTTAAAAAAAAGGAACGACAGCATGGAATTAGGCTTGTTGCTTTCTTTGCTCGGGGGTTGGGTTTCTGAATATAAATGTTTACTTTTCTGACTTTAATTAGTTCATGTAAAAGTAAATCTCTTTGAATGGAGTTTATTTCTCGTCTGTATTTATTCATAAGGACTGAAGCAGGAGCTGCTTTTTATTCACCGAGACAACAGGAGAATGTTTTGCTAAAGAAAATCCCTGCTACTACTTGCCTCACCACAGCCCTAGATGCCATGTGGCAAAAGAAAAACAACTTTACCTGTGATTTCACCCAACAGAGCAGGGGGAGAGGCATTTCCCATAAGCTGCTGAGTGTTTGACGTATGATGCTTCCTCCTTTTTCCAGATTTAGTCAGCAAAGCTCGCTGACAGCGACTGCGCCACCGGGGGTTTCCTAATTACCAGTTTTCAGCAGCCCCAGTCGCACCTTCATTCTGTTTTGTACCTGCGCCACCGTGGTTATGTGTGCCCTGGTTTCTCTAACTCACCAGCTTCCTACATCATGAGAGGCAGCAGAGAATATGAAAGGAGGCACTGCATCATTATTTGCGTCAGTGGTGGAGAACGCATCCATCACGTCTTCTACATGCCTACAGATGTTCTAGTCAGTCTGAACTTCTTCTCTGGCAGTTTTTATATGCGTGCTGTGATTTTTGTGGCAGAAGGGGGGTGTCATGGCAACAGCACTCTAACATATTCTACTGATGTCAGTTCTTTGTTCATATACTCAAAGTGATGCACATTCACAGCTTGTTGTGATAAAGCTCAGAAAAAGACCTACAGAGTATTAATTTAAATCCCTGCAGCTGAATAATAATGTGGAGAACTTTTAATCGCTTTTCTGAGTGGCTTTTCAGGTTAGATGAAGGATTCTGCTGTTCTTTTTTTCCCTTACAGATCCCACATCTCGCTGAAGGTGTTCGCATCCATGGTGAGAAGGTCACAGAGGCACTCAGGCCTTTCCACGACCGCTTGGAGGCCTGCTTCAAACAGCTACGGGAAAAGGTGGAGAAGCAGTATGGAGTGAGGACTCTGGTAAATATGTTTGTTTGGTCTAAATTTTTACCTGATCCTTTCATGATATAAATACTAGTGTTGTCATGCGATTAAAAAAATTGTGTGATTAATTAATCACGGTCTCATGATCAATCACATTAATCACATTATTATTTTGCACCTTAAAGTACTGGGAAAAGCCCCCAACCTGAGGTATTTTCATTTAAAGCCTTAATTTTACTCTGGTAGATGGTGATAAATAACAAAAAAAAGCAGAGCTATGAAGTTGTTTGTTGAATTTATCTCAGTTGAAGATGCAGTCCATTTACATTCTGTTTTCTGATACTACTCCATAGTGCTGCCATCTTTAATTTTAACGAGCAATAGATAATTAGAAAATGAAAACATGTTATTTGTCATGAGTCACTCCACCCCCCCTCAGAAATACCCTCGGGACACCACCCAAAACCTAGACTTAGGCAGAACACAAGAATTTCCAATAGGTTCAGAACGTATTTTTAATTTAGGAACAACTTATGAATGCAAGTTGTTGTTCTATATTCTAACAGTTTTGTTTACTGAAGTGATTTATGATGACAGGTTGTTTTATAGGAGTGGTAACTGATAAAATAAAGACTGAATGGTCCAGTTTGTGTACCATCCTGAATGAAATACAATAAACTCACTCATCACAGAGTCACTTGAGTCAAGATAGATCAGGTTTATTTTTTCAGTGATATTTTACAAGTTGTTGAAGTCCTAGAGGGAAGTCTCGGGTGATCGCATGACACTATAAGTAGCTTTTGATTTACCAATTAAAGTTGGCAATAATTATCACCCACCAATCTTGAAGGTTTAGTTAGGACACCTGGACTTTTCTGTTTGTTGTCCTTGAAGACATTTCACCTCTCATTTCTTTAGCTCTGGAACTTGGGTTGGGAGTAGGAGTCAAGTTTATAGGGTGAGAGGCAAAACGTTGTCATGGAAAACAAGTGAAGTCCAGCTGTTCCAACTAAACCTTCAAGATTACTACCATGCCCTGGTAGAAGGTTTTTTTCTGTGTGTTAGTCGTGTGTAGAGTTAGCAAAATGTCTCATGAACCACTGGATGCTAAAAAGTGGACTGGAAAATGAAACTCAGAAAGTAATGATTGGATCTTTGTCTGATTCACGTTTGGTGTCAACCCAATTCAATATGGCCACCAGCTAAACTAGAAAACACTAAAGTGGCTCTAACTCAGCCACAGGATGAGAGGTAACGTTGAATGTCATCTCCAACACAGTCTGAGTGCTACACGTTTTTGTTTGACTTTTCTGTTTTAAATTATGCCAATAACTGATCAATCTCTGCACATTTCAAATAGTCTTCCTCAAAGCTCTGCAGAAAATTACAGTTAGTCGAAACATCGGCAAAAACAACTATTTTGCTGTGTTAAAAAAACAACCAAGTATGCAATTAGACGAAATACACAGAATGAACGCACAAAAGACTGATCAATCCTGCTTGTTGGTTTGCAAAGTATCAATTAACTACTTATCAAATTATGATGAAACGTTCAAAAAGTCATCATTGGTCTATTTAAGAGTCATGATGGTCACCAAATTGAATCGACCATAGCCAACACAAACCTGGGCCATGACTCAGATATTGAGCTAAAGGTTCAAGCGATAGTAACTGAGTTCAGACCAATGATTTTTATGATTACTAATTGATGGCTATAAGTGTTTCTTAACCGCGAGGAAAGTTGACCATTGAGCAGGATTGATGGTTTATCCCTTGAGGTCCACGTGGCATGGGTGAAGTGGTGCTCACTCCTCACCCCTGCCACGTGGACCCAAGAGATAAACCATCAACCCTGCTCAATGGTCAACTTTCCTCGCGGGGTCACCCTTGAAGACAGTGGGAGGGTTAAATGAAGATAATTTTCATTTCAAATTTAGAGGCAAAAAAGACATTTTTACAAGATTGTAAAAGTCAGCAAACATATAAAATGTTTTATGCTAGAAAAAGATGGGTAGAGATGCAGCTTTAATAACACAAAAGACATTATATTTTTCACAAATAAAACACTAAAGATTCCATCGTCTCTAGTTAAACATGTTTGTCTGGCGCTAATGCAGTCTCTTCACTTGGGTCATGGTTGAATGATTCTGACTGGGACTGCATTAAAAAATGACATTGATTGCCTTATGAGTAACCCTGGGAAACATGAATAATCACTTTTTTAACACTTAGTTGAAAAAAGTTTTATTAATGTCTTTATTTTAAAATGAGTCTAAGTTTGATCATCGGGAGAGCTGGGATGGCTCTTCAGAATAGTTGGCTCAACCTTAATCATAAAAAACAAAAAGCTCATGATTTTGATCCTCCTATAGAGCACATCTGTCCTGTTCTTTTAGCTGAAGTCAGCTTCTTTGCTGTGAGACACTGCTGAGGACTGCTTCCATTTTCCTTTCTGTAGGTTTAATTGTTGCTTGGCCAAGCATTTCCCTCAGCCTTGTCTTCTAAGTAAAGGAGTGCTCCCCTGGTTAAAAGAGAGAGGGTGGCCACCATTCAAATCAGGAAGAAGCCATCCCTTTCCTGGCTCAGATAATATGGTTATCCTATAGAAATGTGTGGCCTTTTGGGTTTTGCTTGAAGTTAAAGGGATACTTTTATTTTTCAAATCATTTTTTTAGCCAATATGTGCTAAAAATGACCCTTTACAAGGTTAATGATAGGCAACCCAGCACCTATCGCCCTCTGTGGCCAGAATATTCCACTTGCAACTTCTGAGTGGCTGGCCACTCCATTGGAACTTTAAAAAACAGAGCTGACATACCTGGCGCTGCAGTCTGCATCCAGCACGTTTCCTGCAAGTTTTAGATCATGAACACAGCTGATTTGTTTAATTTAGTGATGAATCACCCCTGTAGACACCAACAAAAGCTGGGAGACATTTCAGCTGTTAGAAAAAGGTTTTGAAAAGACGAACGCACAGCGAGGAGTAGGGATGGGTACCGAATTCGGTACTTTTTAAGGTACCGACCAAATTCCAATGTACCGACCGAGCACCGATTCACGTTGTTTCAAACGGTGCCTCGTTTCGGTACCCGTCCTTCATAACGAGAACTTGCCAAGACAGCTGCGCATGCGCAAGAGCGTTATGTCGTCGGTCCCTGCGAGCGAGTTGTAAACAGAGTAGCATGGTAGAAAGAACGCACCCTAAAGCTTGGGTCCACTTCACTAAATGTGATGGGTAACTGGGTGAAGAGGAAACCAGCGACAGACAACAATCTAAGTGAGACATCCTCATCTTAATCTGCTCTGTAGGTAAATAAAATGTTTAAGATAACGTTACCTTGATATGTTAGCTTCCGTTTCGCTAATGGTGCGTTCGCTTTCTCCTCGGAACTCCGAATTTCCGACTAGAACATGAACGCGCTGTAAAGTTTGGCTTCACTTTACTAAATGCGACGTGTGAATGGGTGAAGATGAAACCAGCGACAACGATCTAAGTGTGAGGCATCATTGTTTTAATCTGCTCCAGCAGTTAACTAAACTGTTAAAGATAACGTTAGCTTGATATGTTAGCTTCCATTGCCACCGTTGTTATCAGCTAATGGTGTGTTCGCTTTCTCCTCGGAAATTCTAACTTCCCAGTAGGAAAAATCAAATGAAAAAAGACGGCAAAAGGAATGAAGATACGCAGTAAATTTAGTTCACAGTAAAGATGCTGGCTTCAGTTTAATTATCAGCTTATAAAACTACAAGGACGATGTTAAAATACAAACAGTTGTATGTTATTTATCATGATATTTATCAAATATTGTTATATTTCGAGAAAAATATATATTTAATTATAAAAGAGAATTAAAATAATAAACACTCAAAAGTATCGAAAATTGGTACCGTTAAGTACCGGTATCGATTCGTAGGTACCGGTAATTAGTACCGGATCGATTCAAATGTCAAAGGTACCCATCCCTAGCGAGGAGATACATTTTGCTTTCAGTTCTACAAAAGGACACTAGGGGGTGCTAAAAGCAATCCAAAACTGCCTTGTTACCCTTTAGAATACATATTATGATAGAGGGAGCTGAGCCAGAAAGCCAGGCTCTCGATTTACCGGTCGATCTACGTCCCAATCCTCACCTATGGTCATGAGCTTTGGGTAATGACCGAAAGAACGAGATCGCGGATACAAGCGGCCGAAATGAGTTTCCTCCGTAGGGTGGCCGGGCTCAGCCTTAGAGATAGGGTGAGGAGCTCGGACATTCGGGAGGGACTCGGAGTAGAACCGCTGCTCCTCCGGATCGAAAGGAGCCAGTTGAGGTGGTTTGGGCATCTGGTCAGGATGCCTCCTGGACGCCTCCCCGGGGAGGTGTTTCGGGCATGTCCTGCCGGCAGAAGGCCCCCGGGTCGACCCAGGACACGTTGGAGAGGTTACATCTCCAATCTGGTCCGGGAACGCCTTGGGGTCCTGCCGGAGGAGCTGGTGGACAAGGCCGGGGAGAGGACGGCCTGGAGCTCCCTAGTTGGGATGCTGCCCCCGCGACCCGGATCCGGATAAGCGGAGGAAGACGACGACGACGACGATATTTTGAAAGCTTCTGCTGCCAGATCTCTGCTGCAGAAAGGGCTAAAACCACAAAAAGCCAAATACTGTGTTTATTTTAGCAGCCATTTTGTTGCAAAGTTTAATGATTATTTTTTTCAGGTGTTAAGTCACAAATCAGTAGGTTTAATCCCCGTGTTGTTTCCCTGTGGTGTCAGCCATCAGCACTAGATCGGCGGGGATCTCGTCCTCCCTCCATCGTGCGCTCCTTCACCATGCCCTCCTCCCAAAGGCCGCTGTCAGTCGCTTCAGTCACCTCAATCTCCTCTGACAACTCCCCCTCCAGGCCAGGCTCCGATGGGTAACCTGTGGTTCACTAAACCTCAAACAACACCATGCAAATATTCACTGTTCAGTTCAGAAACGTGCTCAAATCTGGACCGCTGCTCTTTCTTTCTAACAGTTTTAACCTAGAGCCTCTTCTACCAAAGAAACTGCACACCAAGTCTCAGGACAAGCTGGACCGGGACGAACCCGAAAAGGAACGCAAAGAGAAGAAGAAGGAGAAGAGGAACAGTAAGCACCAAGAGATCTTTGACAAAGAGCTGAAGACGACAGAGATCACCATGCAGCCGGCTGAGGCCGTCATTCTCTCAGAGACGGTAGAGTTTAAATGTTTTTATTCCCTTGATTTATTTATTTTTTTATTCTTTTTTGTTTGTGAATATCCCCCCCCCCCCCCCCCCCCCCCCCCCCCCCCCGATAGGTTTGTTCCTGAGAAGAGTCGGCTGACCATTACCGACAGTGAATACGTTCTTAATCAGTGTTTCAGTCTATTGTCTCATTTCATCTCAGGTTATCTGAATGGATAATTCCCACAGTTAATGATCAAATCATCCAGCTGCTGCTGTCTAATTATCAGTCTTCTAACAGCTGAGCAGTCTTTCTTCACAATCTTGTAAAAAGAGTGTGTGCCAGACTGGAAACGCTGTCATGAAGTTATGAAAGACAGATGATGTTTTTTCAGTGAACCGGACCTTTGAGATGTGATGTATCTGTACCATAATAATGATATTGGCTGAAGGTATTCTCAGTAGGAAAGGAAAACAAAAATATCTCATTCCGTTTTAAAAACTGTTATTGACCTGAAATCTTTCTTTGCATGTTTGAAATTTAAATTCCCATATTTTAAATCTACTAGCTTCCCTCTGCTCTACCTGTTCTATCTTCACTTGGATGTGTCTTTATCTGGCCCTGTCTCCACTGCTCTGTCCGCTGCAGCAGCGAGGTACGACAGAGCGCTGCATGCCCAGCGGGCGTGCTCCCTGGCTAACAGCATGACGATAAGGACAGGAATGGGATTTGAGGGAGGCCCCTGGCAGCGGTGGAGCCGTCTGGCTTATGAGGGGGAACTCTTGCCTCAAGGGTCAGGACTAGAGAGCCAGGGAGTTCCTAATGATTGTCACTTGTAGAATAAAAAAATCAGTCTTTAACACAAACATCAGGCCAGTTTTTGTTTAATCCCTAATATGAATGATTCTTACAGTTTGTGGAGAAAATTACATGCCTGAATGTTTCCATTGTCTCCCTTGTGGCCAGTGTTTGGCCAATTACAGAATTGTTTGTTGATGTCGCCTACAGTGTGGAATAGCCCTGAGGACATATCTTTTCTTATTCAAATTCCAGCCATAATAAAGCTGTGAAGACACAGTCATGCATACAAACAATTATACAGAATCACAAATAACTCACTGCATCCCGACAGCAACATTTATCCAAATGACTTTCTCCTTCAGGAATACAAATAGCTGTTTTAGTGTGCGAGAAGGACACACACACACACACACACACACACACGCACGCACGCACGCACGCACACACACACACACACACACACACACACACACACACACACGCACGCACACACACACACACACACACACACACACACACAGGCCCGTTGGAGGTGTGAAACTGATTTTTCTCTGCTATATTTCATTAGTCTGAACTTATTTGCTGCCTTGAAAACGTTTCTTTTAGTGCTGATTTGCTGACTTCTTCTCACTGACAACTCTGTAAAAAGTATTTTCCCTGCCCCACAGATCAGCCCCCTGCGGCCTCAGAGACCCAAGAGTCAGGTTCTCAACCAGACAGGGGTAGACCGTCGTCTCTCCGTGTCTCCTGGACCTTCTTCCACCAACTCGTCCACCTCCTCACTTGGGCCCCCACCCATCGCACCAAGGAACAAAAGCTCCTTGAGCCTTCACACTGGTTCCAGTAAGACTTTAGCTTCTAGTGGAGTTACCGTGACCCAGATTTCTGTTTTTAGTTAGTTTCAGGGACTTTGTCTCAGAGTGTCCTTGTGACATCCTTCGACTCTGAGCCCGGTGCTCCAGAAACGCTGATGAATCCTTTCTCACACAGATCTGGAGCTGAACGGGATGGGCTGCTCTGACAAGGGCGAAGTCCCTCCTCCGCTGCCGGTAAAAGGCAGCACGTCGGATTACGGCAACCTGCTTGATCATCAAGACTTGACGACTCCCTCAACACCTCCACCGCCCCCTCCACATCAAAGAGTAGGTGTTGTAATTAGGGCTGAGAGCAACTCCTTAATGATGCATGGCACTCGTAATGAAACAAGCATCTGCTTCTCACTCCTGACATTTAGGTCAGCTTCCTCCACTCTGATGCATCCTGTCTTGGTGTCCATGTGTTCTTGTCTCTGCAGGATTTTTACAATCTAATTTTAGGTTTTTTCCCCCACCTGCTTTGTGATACGTGTCACAGAAGAGTATAGACATCAGTCGGTTAGCAGCCTGTACCTGCCCGTCCACCCTGCCGTTATTTATACTCGTCCCGCCAGCCGGCCTGGTGCTTGGACGTGATTGATTGGATGATTACTTCACCTCTCACATTCATCAGAAGCTCTCCAGCTGTTAATCAGCGCCTCGTCTCTCCACATTCCTCGACTTCTACTCGAGCCGTCCTCTCGTTTCAGCCTTGACTCTCTGTTAACTAATCTTATTTATCCGCCGTCACGGCCGCTAGATGGGGCGTAAAACCGAACCTGGGCACGCCGTGTGGCAACAGACTGCCAGTAAGGGAGCAGGAGCACACGTTGAGAGTCAGACAGTATTCATTTACGGCCCTTTATGGAGGCAGAGGTGAAGGCGTTGATGAGCATCACTCCTGGTCTGTTGACTCTGGTAAAGGACATGCTAAGGGAAGGAAACCCCGACCAGTCTAGACTAGATATTTCAAAGAAAGGAGAAACGTCTTCAGAAAAAATAAAAGTCTATTTTAAACAAATGTAAAGAATCTGGCATATTTGGGATTGTCTAAAGAAGATCAAATCTCAGTCCATTCTGTGTTCAGGGAAATCCGTGCATGTACATTTGTTGTCATGCAAAGAGAAACAGCATAAAAACTGTAATTTCCATAGAAATCTCTGCTACTTAGCTGCTTTAAGTCTAAAATAGGCATACGTTTATCAACTAAACATCTTAATTCCAACTAAAACTAAGTCAAACTAACTAATAGGATTTTATTTCATTTTTAAAACAGAAAGAAAATTGCTATTGATCCTATAATTACACTTATGACCCACAATTATTTACAACTAACTGTAGAAATGAACTGAAAACTTTACTCTTTAAATGAGGGTGTTTATTTAGCTCCAGCGTGAGTTAAGGCACAAAAATCAAAAGCTAACACCAACATCTTCGTCCTGTAGATGTGTGTCAAACCGCGCTCTGCAGTGTGTCAATCTCCAGAAGATTGACTCTGGTGCTTTGAGACCTTGATGGTGTTAAGTACAGTAATCCGTCTGAAAACTGCAGCTCCAGGATGTCTCTTCAGTTACACACAAGCTGACGTCTTGCTTTCTGCTGCTTGAGCTAACTTCATTGATGGATAGTTTTTGGATAAGGCCCTTAGGCAGATCATTTATGTGGAGCAAATTAGCATTTAAATATCTTGCATTTTAATAATATTTCTACGAATTATGAAATTAAATGAGTTCCTTTTATTACATACACAGGCAGGAAGTGATTGTTATTTAAAAAATATTCTATATTGTTTAATTTAAATACTTGTTTGCATATCAGTGCAGTCTGTGTGTAATTTATAATATACTTGAGTAGGCACGTTGCAAGCTTTTCAAAAGTGCGGGGGATGTTGTCTCTGGATGTCATCAGCTGTAAATTGAAACTCAACCTCAATCCAGTAACGGGTCCGCGCATAATTCATAGTAACAAAGTCCTTTTAAAAACATGCAATGTATAAACTGCACACATGCAGAACGGGAAGAACGAATTTTCCAAAAAATAGAACCCAAGTTTTCTCCATCAACGACACCCAATTCAACAATAAGCTGTTAAATCAAAAGGACGTAAAAATACACTAAAAAAAGCAATTAGAGAAAAACACACAGAAGCGACAATCCAATATCCTATCCACAGAATCCGCCGTTTAAAATAAAGCCCAGGCTCTTCTCTTTCCAACAGTATTCATGCACTCTACGTGCAAAATTCACAGAGCCAGCAGCTAACAAACCACGGCTCATTTCATGATGTGAAAAGCGTAAATTCAGTCTTACCTTTGTTGATTCATGGTCATAATCCATGTTATAGTAAAAACAATCCAATCCCTTTGTGTAATCCATCTTCACAACATCACACAAAGCTGATTCGTGGCTGTTTTAGCTTGCATCCATCCGACGCCAAATCACAAAAAAACTACCCTAAAAAATCAAAAGCGAGTGATTCATTCTATTGGCTCAGAAGTTTTCTAACCAACCTGAATGGCTTCAATAATCCAACGGCGGGGTCCGGAGAAACTCTCCTGAATAAACTGTAGTTCTAGCCCAGTCCACCGGCTCACAGGTGTACTCGGGTAGAGGCGGGGAGGTTCCGACAAACTTTATTTGTCACTGAATGTTAACAAAGCTGGCTTTAAAGTTGGACAACAAAAACTATCGTGTAGAAGGACTGTTCAATTATTCCTTTTACAAGTGGCACACTGTGGCATTTGAGACCTGGCAGACAGAAAGAGACTGCTTTAACTGAATTAATTCACAAACTGATACTAAATTGCAATAGCTTAAACCTATATTTATTTCATTGCTTACCTGTGAACCTTCATGATTCCTCTCTGAACCTTCTTGTGCTCTGACACTGATGCCTCCTGCTGAACCAGAAAGGTTCAGTGGTGAAGAGTGGACTCAAACTAATTAAATCATTTTGGCTCAGTTTAAACAAAATGAATCTAAAATAATTGTTTTATTTATCTATGTAAATATGATTTTAGATTTTACAGTAATTTAACTAAAGCATCTAAAGACACACCATGCCGGCAAATCGGCGTAATATTACCGCAATGGTATGTCTATAAACGCGCCATGCCGGCATGGCGTTGCGCAAATTTTGCGGCATTCGTTCCGCCTCGCTTGGTAGTAATATTGCCGCATGAGCCCCTTGCCTGTGACGGCTAAACGCGTGTCAGCCCCGCTAATCCCTTTGGAGCGACTGTGGGAGGCCCTCCCGCAAAAGAGGGCGGTCGCGTTAGTGACGTATACTGCGCGCCGAATGCCGGCCGGAAGGGATATAAACACAGATAAACATGGCCTCTCACTAGTATCTTTCAACCACCTACAACATGGCAAACTGGACTGACGTGGAGACCATGGAGCCTTTGGTCACGCGAGCGGACGAACAGATTAGTCGCCTTTTTACGAGGACGGTGAGAGACGGCCGGCTGTTTGACAGAGTGGTGAAAACACTGGCTGAGCGGGGCGTCAAGCGAGACAAAAAGCAGGTAACATCTAAGCTAAAGGTCCTGAAAAAGAAATTCCATCAGTCTGATGTGTCTTCCGTCTCACGCTGAATGCGCGACCCTGTACGTCACATGCGGGGGGGGGGGGGGGGGGGGGGGGGGAGCAACCTCCTTTTGAGAGGTGCCTGATGGCAGTTTATTCTAGCTTCAGTTTTGCTACCATAAATGCCAAAATCCTCCCCAGGGTGCCGCAGCAAATCCCGTTTTGCAAACGCTATGGTCCTGTAAAAACAGCTTCAGAAAATCCACAAATAGAGGCTTTCAGATGGTTTTGTCACTGACAGATTTTTGTGAGTTTAGAAAAGAAGCAGATGAGACGGCGTGTCCGACAATTTTGCTTTATGTCAGACAACATTAAAACATGTCAGTAATGTCTGAGGTGCTTCTGAGGAGCCCAGTAAAGCTTGGGTTATGCATGACGCATTCACTTTCCGCTTGGTGATGCGGCTCGCGGATGGAACGTGCTTCACAACTTGCAGCGTTTATGGTTCATGCGGCTCGTCTCTGCGGTGAGCCAATATTCTCCCAAACTGAACGGGGCAGCATGGAGCTCTACGGCATGCATCCAACACTACACCATAGTAGAAGTAGAAATTACTGTTGTTTACAACATGGCATTCCAACATTTTTAACAGCGTCCTCGTCTTTTCCGACAGTGCGAGCTATTTCTCTCCAAGAATTATTAACAACATGTTGATCACGGTGATCTCTGAGAGCTGAATCATGCAAATGTCTGTATTTACGAACCCCTGCCATACTAGTTCTTGCCAGTCCGCCATGTTTTTCCACGTCCGACCGTCCGCGTGGTTAGAAATTTTCCGAGGTGCGCGGTGCGGAAAGTTTGGGCCGTGCGAAGGCGCGGTGGAGGGGCGTGGTTGTTAAAATGACGCAATTTCGCGGACGCGTCAAGCATAAACCAACCTTTATAGGGGTGGGGGGTGTTGTTTTGCCTTGGCCAATGGCCCCCAAAATGCCTTGAAACGGCCCTGGGTAAGTCTGAGTTTTTAAGGTGATCTGAATTGTATCAAATATATAATTATTACATGTGTATAACTTATTGTTTTATACAGGTAAAACGCTGTAGTGGAGATACATCTACCTACATTTTACTGTTTTGTTTTCTTATTTTTATTTAACTATTTTCCTGTCTGTCTGTCTGTCTGTCTCTCATCTTCCTGCATCTCCTCTAAACTCTCCAGAAAAACAGCTGCCTGGATTCTTACTTTTTCACCTCATCAGTTACTTTTGAACTATAAGCAGATCAAAGGGATCTCCTAACCGCAAAGCGGAGTGCGCGTTTCGATGCTGCGTCAGTGAGGTGAAATCACCTCAGCACAAGATGAGCGGAGCTCGTCAGGAACGATTAAAAGACCGAGTACCAGATGATTTAAACAGATATGAACGATTAATAATAATGTTTTTGTTGCGCCACTTTGAGAATGTACCGTGGGCCGGACGCAGCGAGCTCGACAGCTCTTCCCTCCCGTCGGGCTCTTCCCTCCTTTCCTCTCCTGTTTCTCCTTGAAGCCCGACAGCCGATGTCGGGTTTCGGGGAGAAACGGGAGGGAGGGGAAGAAGGAGATGAGGCAAACAGAGTGAGTGCGACATAGAGGAACCAGACTGGTGTGGAGGTGAGCAAAACGGCTGGAAAAGTGTGGGTGTTGAAACCCACATCCCCCATGGGTGTGTCGCCCATGTACTTGAGTTGATATTTAATTATAATTAAGTCATAAGCTAACTTCTATACTGCGTAGTTGGTTTAGTAGATTTTTGGGTCATTTAAGGTAATTTAGATCGCTGTGAAAAGAATGAAAAGGCAGCAACCAGAGGGGTATTCCTGAAATGTTAAAACTAAGGAAAGTAATCCTGAATCAATGGGAAGTTTGTGTTTTCCTTTTTATGGAGAGGTGTGTGAATTTATCACCGTGGTAACTAAGGTAGGTTTATACTGGTCCCATCTCACCTGAAGCAGCTGTCTTACATGAGTTTCATTATTACAAACAATTAATTTATATCCATCAGAATGCATGGTGGCACAGTTGTTAGCACTGTTGCCTCGCAGCATGAAGGTTGCAGGTTTGAATCTCAGCTGCGGCCTTTCTGCGTGGAGTTGCACGTTGTCCCCATGCATGCGTGGGCTTCCTCTGGGTTCCCCCCACAGATCACAACATGCTCTATAGGTTAAAAATTGTACGTCGCTTTGGGTAAAAGCTTCTGCCAAATAAATAAACATTAATATAGAATGATGTCATAATGCCCTTTATTGGGAGATCAGCTCTTGTTGTCATTTAAATGATCAGTCATCACACACAAGCGTGCCTTTTATTGCTGTCTGGGGACAACTGAGTTATTCTCTTTTAAAACCTGTGTTTTACCTGTTCTTGTGTCTTGTGGTCCACACGTCTTTGACTCTAATTTGGTTAAAATGAATAAAAATGCAGACCTTTTGAGAATTAAGGGACTAGCAGTAAATTGGTACAGCAGGACTGGTTGAAGAAGCCTCTGATTTCATATTTATGTAATTTATGAAACGACAAAATTATATTTTTTACTTTGTTTTAAAGTTTTTTGTGATCAGTGAAACTCTTTTCTTTAATCTGCCACTTTTTCATTTTAATGCCATAAATGGAAGTTCAGGTACATTTTAAATCAGTGCAGTCAGGCCTGCACTTCAGCATTCCTTTATTTTCTAACACACTTGACCATATTCTTCCACAGCTGACTTCCTGCTTCGGCGACAGGTTTTGTTTTTCTCCTATGGTTGCCATGGTGAATCAAGATGTTGGGACTTGATTGATGATTGCTATTTATTGCAAAGTGGCACATTTCAAAAAGTGACTGCAGTTAAAATAGATTAAGTGAAGTTACAGATAGCAGGTAGACTCAGAGTTTGATACTGTCATAATTGTTTGCTTGTGCTGTAAAACGCCTCTTGCTTAACAAGACTGCAGATTTGAACCTTTTAGGTGAAGTCAGTGTGACGATTTCATGATTTTCCTTCTTTCTTCTGTCTTTTTGCAGCACATTCCTCCTCCTCTTCCCAGCAAGACCCCTCCCCCGCCTCCACCCAAGACCACCAGGAAGCAGACCTCCATCGATTCAGGAATTGTACAGTAAACAAAGACACTGACAGCAGGACCCAACAGCACGCTGACAACAAAACAAAAACATCCAGAGTAAATGTTCTCAGAAGAAATGCGTTGTTTTCACCCACACATTCCCCACTCCCCATCCTGGCTTGACGAGATGAATACCTCACAGCAGCCCGCCTCCTCTTATCATTTAACTCCTTCCCTGTCTTCCCCCCACCCCTTTGAGTGGACAGCGATGCCATCTGCATCACAGAGCAGAATCCACCGACGACTTGTCGTTGAGATTTTGTAGACCAAACTGTCGCTCAGCAGTTTTATCATGACATTAGCTGGAGCTCAGACCAATGAAACATCACCCATATGTCCATTGTTCCTATTCCCACTATGTACAGAGGTATGTATATATGATTTTATTGTGTTTCTGGTGTTTTGTATGCGATCTGATGATGACTGCTTTTGTATTAACACACTTTTTAGATTAAGTGGCATTTATAAGAAACAAAAAAGGGCTTCGAGATTTGAACTGAGCAGGATTTTTAGCTTATTGGTAAAAAAAAAAGCATCTGGAGTGTAAATCCAACTAACTCCTGTTGCATCAGTCATTGTTCTTGATTGCTGTAACTTTGGGTTTCCAACCATATTGTTTCCAGTTCACTACTGACATGACGTCTGAATAAACTTTCAAATGATGTATTTAAAAATAATAATAACATGCATTTCTCATTATTTCTTTAAAACAACAGATGTTTGGGTGTTTGGCACACTTGATGCGACAATCTGCGTATTGTCCTGTTAAATGACAAAGCTGTCTGCCTGCTGGACTGACAGCCGCCACTGCAGCGTAGGAGAGCTGCTTGATCACAAACCTCCACAACTGAGATCCTGGAACTGCAATGTGCTCCACAATCTGTAGCTTTGATAGTAGTGAAGCTGCACCAAAAGCCTTCTTTGTTAGAGCAACATTCTATTCGACTTTAAAAGCAACTGCAGAACTTTAAACTTCGTTTTCCCACAATGCTGCGGCAGCGTCCGATGCAAATAAGCAGAATGTTTTTCTTTTCCTTTTTGAATTTGGTTGATTAATTCTTGTCAGCTTTCTGTGAACGTTCCACTGTTTGTTTAGGTGTTTGGTGCGCAGCAGTTTTAGTTTAAATAGGAGTTTTATTAGGTTGGCAATAATTGTGTTTTTTTTTCTCATGTTGATGGAAGCATAAGCTTACAGGATATAATGGTACATTATGATGCTCTACAACCGGTGGGGCCCTCAGGAGCTGCTGTGCTGCATGTTTTAGATGTTTTCCTGCTCCATGCAAACTGTAACCCTGTAGACCTATAGTCCTGGCTTCGGCAGAACTGACCATAAAAAATATAATGGAGTGTTTTCTACTCTCATAGGAACTCCTGCCTCAAACATTTGGTAACTATTTCAACAAATATTATTTTACAAACCTGTACATCACCATGGTTTTTGCATCACACAGTAATTGACCTTTATTTATATAGCTCCTCCTAGAGTATATATGTCGATGCTAGAGTCGTAAAACCCCCTCAAGGTACTTTACAACGCGCTGTTCATTCACACATGCATTCGCCTGCTGGTGCTGATGAGCTACAGACATAAGAATCATGCAGCGAGGGGATTTAGTTTGCTGTTATATCAAACAACCAATCGCCTTGCAGCCAATCAGAGGCGAGAAATGCAGAACTTTCCTTGGACATCCTACAATTACAAATCACGCGTCCAGCAGGCATCCTAACTAGATCTTCGAGCCACCTCAACTGGCTCCCCTTGATGTGGAGGAGCAGCGGGTCTACTCTAACCTCCTCCCCGATCACCGAGCTTCTCACACTATCTCTAAGGGAGAGCCCAGCCACCCTGCAGAGAAAACTCATTTTGGCTGCTTGTATCCATCATGTCGTTCTTGCAGTCTCTACCCAAAGCTCGTGACCTTAGGTGAAGGTAGTAATGTAGATCGACTGGTAAATCAAGAGCTGCATCTTCCAGCTCAGCTCTCTCTTCACCGCAACAGCCGGGTACACCTAACGCCTGCGTCACTGCAGTTGCAGCACCAATCCACCCAGCAGTGTCCCAATCCATCTTTCCCTCACTTGTGAACAAGATCTTGAGATACTTAAACCCCTCAGGCAGGACCTCCTTCCTGAAAAGTAAAAAGAAAAAAAAACTACCAGATGCTCTGCTAGTTCATTCTATACAATTCACAGTGTCTGTAAACCCCTCCAGACTAGCTGTTAGCTCATCAAGCTGGTCAGAATTAAACCAGTTATAAACATTGCCCATCTGTTAGCGCTTTTGTAAGTCAGGGACTGCAAAGCGCATTACAGTTCGACCATTCACACACTGATGGTGATGAGCCACATCGTAGCCACAGCTACAGCACACTGACCGTATCGGTGCCACCAGTCCCTCCCTTCGCACCAGCAGGTAAGGAGGGTAAAGTGTCTTTTCTGACAGAGCTGGGTTTCGAAACAGATATTTATTCATCATTTATTCATTAGTCAGTCTTTGACTCAAGTCGATGGCTGTTTCTCCATCTAGTCGTGTTGCCCAAATGCTTCTATATTTTGTTTAGAGCGTGATCTTTAGCAGCTTGAATGTCCTGCAGCTGCATTACCAGTTGTTCGTTTCCAGTGAAGACATTTCAAAAGTGAGAGTAAGGTCATTTAGTTTTGTAAAACCCACTCATTTATTTCAATCACAGAGGTGTTTAATAGCCATAATTACACCTGGCTGCTCTAAACCAAGAGTTTTATGTTTTAGGTACACATGCTTTACTACTTTACGAGTGTATTAGTGGTCCTCGCTGTGTTGGGACAGGTCTCACCACTTTCATCAGTCTCATATAACATTTAGTCTATTCCTAGATACCGTACTTTGGGGGTTTCTTTTCCAATTTTCTGCCATCATTTGTGCTCTCATGCCTCAAAGCTGCTGTAAAATTGCTCCATTGTACCGTCATTTTCTGAACCACCTGTGCACATTTGCTAAGTGCGTACACAGGCCTTGTTTTCTGTGTCACAAACCCAGCTTGTGGGACCCCTTTTGAAGTGTTTGCCCCAGGTGGCTCACACTCTGCTGCTTTCCTCCTCTGCTGACACTTTGTGAGTGGGCGTCTGCCTGAGGAAAAATGCTCAGACTGTAGCCTCAGTTGTTTGAAGGTGTTTTTATCTGGAGAAAATCCAGCTTTTTAAAGCTCTTCTCGTCCTAATTAGGAACACTGAGTGACATTTCCTCCCCTGGAGTTTTTTTTTCTGAGGAAGAACCTGTCATAAGAGACTGCTTGTAGCTTATGGGCTCTGTGAACCCATTTTGTCAGACTAATATTTTGGTAATTTACTGTGATGAGAATGAGTGTTTAGTTCCTGTTTAGCAACAAATAAACTAAATAATCAGACTCCTGTTTACAATTAATACAATTAAAAGGGATTATGTGGGGTCTTTAAAATCATGAATATTTAATATTTAACAATTTTTAGAGAAATTCTGACCGCATCCGTTCATTAAACCTAATTATGATATTTTTATTTCACCCTGACAAAAACTACAAAGCCCATGATGCAGCAGGGTGTGGAAATGTCTAATGAGGTTTGGCTTCAAAACATGGGTTTAAGTATAGTTGTGAAAAACCCACCAACTGTTACACTTAAATTATCTGGAGTTTAATGTCTCTGATATTTGAGTAATTTAAGTGGGCATATATCAAGGAAAGCATGTAAAGTCTCTTGTATTAGGCCTTATCTCCTGAGACCGGTGTACGGACATTGCTCTTGCTCTTTAGTATTTTATTCAGTCAATCTAAACCTATTGTTATTCAGGGAAATTATGCTTTAATTACATTTATTTTCAAAGTTTTTAATTTAGGATTTGTAAGAATGATTTAAAATAGATTTTTCAAAAGGTGTTGGTTTTATAAGGTAACTAAAAGCACATGCCAAACAAAAACTACAAGGTTAACTGAATCTGACGAGACTTTTGGGATGATTTAATTTCACAAAATTGTTTAAATACAAATCAGCAAAAAACATATACATGTGTTTTTTTTACCCAAATTAAAAAATCTAAGCTGTAGTTATCTGTAGTCAGAGGATGTACTTTAAACAAATATTTAGAAACTTTAACTTTCTGTAATAATAACCAGATTTTTTTTATTTATATTCTTGTCATTTGGAGAATAGTTTACTCATTTCAATGAGAAGCCTTTAAAGGTTTTAATAATAACCAAACAAAACTTGCAAAACCTTAAATGAAGTCATCATTATATAATTTTGCGGTGCTCACTCTAGCAGTGTTGTCTCGTGTTGGTGTAACGCATCTTTATGTAACATAGTTGTTGTGCTCAGCATAACTCCTGAACGGAAACTTTTGTCGTTTATATTAATTAAATGTTCTACTTTTATCCAAAAAAAATAGGTTTTTAGTTTCCCAAGTAAAGTTAGATGGATCCCGTAAAAATTCAGGTTTCACCACCCTAACACATCTCGTTTTTTTCTCTTCTCAAGTTTCTTTTCCTGACTTTTAAAAAAATCAACACTATTGCTGCCATAACCTGATTACAAACAGAGAAGCCTTTTAAATAAAAAGTTGAGTGAATCGAATAAGAATAAAAACCGCATTCTGTAAAAATATGGGTAAATACAGCTGAACAGTTCATAAACATTTATAATTCATAATTATTGAAAATCTTGAGATAATGTGAAAAACAATGTAGACCCTAGAACTCCCAAATGCTCTTTAACCTGGAGAACTTTTGCTCAGAATGACTGTAATGCCCTAATCCTGTAAAATAAACTCAATGTAAAGAAATTAGGTTTGGATTTTTTTTATTGCTACAAACTCATGAATTATTTCATAATCAGTTGAATTAAAGGTATGGTGGAGGAAGTTTCTGAATTTCAGGAAATAACCGCCCTCTCTACGATTTAAAAAAATGTGCAAGAGAGAGAAGGCCCAGTTATCCTTGTGCACGCTCTGTTGTAGCAGCTGCAGCTAACTAGGCTGGCAAGCCAGACTAAATAAATGTATTATTTAGTCTGGCAATGCTTCATTGATGGCTCTCGGTCGTGGGGCGGATTCTAACATTGTCTTTCAAAGGGTCTCCACTAGTGGACAATGAACAACGTGACATATTCACTGCAACGGATGTCTGTAAATGAGGCGGTCTGCTGTTGAATAAGGCAAAAAAACATCCTTTTTTCGAAAGAAATAACTTAAATACATCTATCTGCTCCTGATTCTAATAAAGCCCAAGTCCAAATAGCCCAGAATTGATGTAAAAGCCATTTCAAACTAGCTGTCGCCATCTTGTTCCACTCTTGCATCATCCCACCCATCGGACAAATAGAGGGCCCTGGTTGGCCCACAAAGTGAATAAAGTGCTGTGATTGGTTCACAAAGCAGATAGAGCGCTATGATTTGCCCACCATTATGGACCAATCACAGCTCTCTAGATGTTTGAAACCCATCTAGAGAGCTGTGATTGGCCTGCCAGAATGCTGCTAGGGGCTGTGGAGGTTCCAATGGCGCGTTCCTTGACCAAACTTTGCAAAGCAAGAATTTGGTCTAGTTCACTAGGCTAGCAGCTAACTTCTTCTAGCAGTAATCTGAAATGATTTTCTCTAAATAGCATGCTGAACTTAAGCTTACCTGTTGAGCAGAAATCCAGCGACA